GACAGAGTGAGATTTTAATTATTTATTGTAATATTATTTCATAGAAATCGGTGGGAAGCCAAAATCGCATGGAAGCAGTGAAATTCTGACTCGTGTTAAGATGGCGTGTCAATCCCTCGTTTTACCTTATTGATTTGTAATTATCCACAAACCACGGGCCCAATCTCTCTCCGGTGCTCTGGGCTTGCTATGGGTTCTTAGGCCCGCTAGATGTTTCAGAAAAAGAAAATCCCTCCAACCTTAGTACATCATCTTGAATCTGTACTAGTCTACTACAAGTCTACAACTGCAGTCATACAAACTAGCTTCTAACTAAACATCAGGCATCAGCACAACCACAAGACAATAACTATAGCCATGAAGATGAACATCAAGCCAAAAAAAAGCTACATCTTCAAATCAGAGAGTTTTCTTCTTGGTCATGATCATGAGCTTCTTCTCCAAGGCCTTATCGAAGTTACTACGCGACAAGGAAAGAATCTGGTTCAGAAGCAACCTCACTCCATACTCCCTAACAAGAGCGTACCTCGGCTTGATCCTGTGCTCCAAGCTATAGCCAAAGTACTGTGGGAACTTGACAAGCTCGTCCTTGGAGTAATCCATGGTGAGGAAGAACTCCCATTTCGGGATAAGGTTATCCTCCAAGCTGAAGCTATACAGAGCTCCATACCTCGAGATCATGATCCCAATTTCCTCTTGTGTGTACCCTTTCCCCAAGAAGAACTCGGTGATGGGTTTCAAGTTTGCCTCGATGCTGAGACCGAACGTTGAAGGAGAACGGAATAGAAGAATGCCTACGTCGACATGGAGGGATCTGAAGTAAACTGCTGTGGGACGAAGCTTGTCCTCCACGCTATAGCTGATGATGTTTGGTGCCCGAGTTAAGATCTTCCCTATGCTGTCAGCCGAGACGCCCATTTCGGAGAGGAACTCCACAGTTGATTCGACCTTCTGCCTGCTGTAAGTAAGTAGAGCTGGGAACCGGTATATCACTTTTGCCCATTGTGCCTTGTCGACTCCCAAATCTTCCAAGAATCTCATGGTGGGTATGATGTTTTCTGAAAGGCTGATCCCACAGAGTTGTGGCCTTTTGGTTAGGATGACTGGGAGGTTTGCTTTAGGTATGCCTAGATCGATGAGGAACTCAACTATCGGCTTGATCTTGCCTTCCAAACTGTAGTAAGCAAAAGCCGGGAACTTTCTAGTGATCACTTTGATTTTTTCCAGGTCCAAACCGAGATCTATGAGGTAGAGGATGTGAGGTGGAAGGTCACCAGCTGGGCCTATCTCGCTCACTCGACTCACAGCTTTTAGCTTCTTCGAACTGAGAGGTACTTCAGGAGGAGGAATGGCGGGAAGAGCAGCAGCAGCAGGTTTATCTTTAACCGGAGGGTCTGGAAAGTTCTCTACAACATCAACCAGAACGTTGCCGTGTTCTTCGTGGAGCGATTCAAGGTAAGGAATGAGAGCGTCCCTAATCTCAAGAGTTGTGAGTTCTCTTCCTATACAACATTGTGTCGAAAATGGAGGTTATTCATCAGGCAATGAGACAAGTTGAGGAACAGGAAATTGAGTGAAATTGGCATACGAAGAAAGAAGACAGAAAGCAATTCGAACCTACTAGATACCGAGATTTGTGAACAGAATGTAGCCTGGAAATGAGATGGTCGATGAAGACATCCGATTTGTTGGCAGTTCTCGAAGCGACTGACTTGCTCACACCCTGGTTCTTCAAGAACAAGGCTAGAACAGCTTTTGCTTCTTCCTTTTCTGCAGTGAGCAATGTTGGTGGCACTGATCTTGCCGCGGATAATCCATCTACCCTAGTACCTTCCCATTTGTTCAAGAAAAAAGAAAAGAAAAGTGTTTCAATTCAATGAACATATCTACCAAATTCCAGGTGAAACAATATTGACTGAAATTACCAAATGTCCCCCGGCAGAAAAAGAATGCTTTGTCAGGGAGGAAGAGCCGATTTCTGAAACAAAGCAACACCAATACGTAAAGCTTTTCAACAACGCTTCATCAGAGAACACTTCAATTTCACCATAATAGAACGAAATAACACAAATAAATAGCTCGAAGCTTATTTCAAGTCCCCATATCTTGCAATTAGGACGAGGGTAACGAAAATCAACTATAGCAGAAGGGCAAATCCCATTAGAACCAGAACAACCAACAAGCGGAAACAAAAGGCGGAGTCTTTTTCTCTGCAGAAATAAAACCCACGCTGTGTTCATTGAAAACAGAAAGAACGAACCCATTTTTCGAGTAGAAATCAACGGAGGGACGACAAAAAGAAGATATGTAGTACCTGGAAGAGGGTAAAACGGGTTTAGAGAGGAGATAAGTGAAGCCGACTGAGGAAGAAGAGCAGCGGATAGCGAATAAAGCTTTCATCTTTAAGCTCCAAAATCAGAGTTCGAGAACTGGGTTGGCAGATTTTCGAGCTCGTTAATGAAGGGAGCGATCTTCCGCAGAGAATACTAGAAAGTAGGGAGTAGCGCAAGGTTGAACTATGCAGAGAAGAACTAATGACTGGTGTAGAATGGCTCGTTTACACAACAAAATAAAAAAGGTAGGAAAAGTAATAAAATATCTGCTCCGCCACGTGGGCGCGGCACACGACTCGGAAAATCGACGGAACGGTGCCGTTCAAGACGGCAGCAAAACCCTATAAACCTTCGAATGATAATCGGAATTTTGATCCTCCATTGCCGAAGCAAGGAAGAAGCTTTGATTTTTGGAGTGAAGTGGAAAGGAAGGGAAGAGAAGCACTGAGATGGCGATGTATCTGAGACGGGCAGTCTCATCTCAAAGTTTAATTGGTTTGATTCGAGGAATTTGGTCGCGGGAAGTCATCCAAGCTCGGAGCTTCTCTCAGGGTCTCGTCTTTTCGCGGGATTTCATCTGCAGCCATTTTACCGGGACGAAAGAGGCGCCAACTCTGCCGACGAACTTCGGCTTCCTCAAAGAGAGTCATCGAGGGTTCGCCAAGGGCAAACGATCAAGTAACTTCCGATTTATTCGATCTTGCAATTGAGCTTTTTTGTTGGATTTGTGTCGAGTGGCCTGTTAGTGTTCAACGAATTGCGTCAGTTAACTGTGAGCAAGATGGGCAATTGGCCTTTTGCGTGCAAGTTTGTTTTCTGAGTTGTGGTTCGAATGATTGAGGGTTCAAAAGTCTGCTATTGCAAGCTTATGTTTGGCTTCTGAATCATAGTCGAGCTAGACCAAAAATGGCGCCTTGCTAGTTTGGAGAGAGCATTTGATGCACTCATTCTCTTTCTGGTTTGTATCCTTAGGGGATGATTCTGGTGGGGGGACAGTTGAAGTTGCACCCGACATTGGACCTGCTGTTAAGTCAGGTGCGGCCTCACAGATGGATGCAGCAATAGATGCATTGTCTAGAGAACTTACCAAGTTACGAACTGGGAGGGCCTCTCCAGGTGTGATACGTGGAACCGTTCGTATATGCTTTTGATTTGACCCGAGCTCTTGAGTTATTTGGACCATGCTTAAAATGGCTTCTCTGCAGGAATGCTTGACCACATCATTGTCGAAACTGGTGGTGTCAAAATGCCACTGAATCGGTTAGCTGTTGTTTCAGTCATGGACCCCAAAACCTTGTCTGTGAATCCTTATGATCCCAATGTAATGAACTCTACCTGAAGATGGTTTTCTAAATTGGAGCTCTTTTCCTTGTTTTCTGGTGCTATTATTTACTGAACAGACCGTGATTATGGTAAATTGCTTCCTTTTCACAGACTCTTAAGGAACTGGAGAAAGCAATTGTTTCATCTCCATTGGGGCTGAATCCCCGTGCTGAAGGTGAACGACTGATTGCTGCTATTCCACCGTAAGCACTCACTAGCTTATGGCACCGTTTTTTTCAGTCAGTTTGGGGATATTAGTTTCAAGCTCGATGATGTTGAGACAGCAGCATTATGTTTGGGTTTCTGATGTACTTTTTTTGCGTTCTTTGTATTTGGCAGATTAACCAAAGAACATATGCAGGTGATATATTAACTGTTATGGTTCCCTTTTTAGCTCAATTCCCCATGTAATTCCCTTTGACTGACTGGAAGAGCCTTTCTATAGGCTTTGTGTAAGGTGGTTACCAAGTCGAGTGAAGATGTCAAACAAAGCATAAGAAGAGCTCGTCAGAAGGTAAACTGGTTAAACAATTTTAGGGTTCTTCAGTTCATAATTGGAGTCAAACAGGCCCTCAGAATTGTTAGACCACTGTATATATAGTACATAGTTTTCTTCAGTTCATAATTGGTTCCTTGTTGCCAATTTCACATTGACATCTGATGATCTAATAATTATTCCTGTGAATGAGTCTGGCTCGAGCTGAATAGAATGCCTGGCTTCCTATGACAGGCGTTGGATACAATTAAAAAAGCCGGATCAAGCGTACCTAAAGATGATGCCAATAGACTGGAGAAAGAGGTGAGCTAGTTTATCCTCCCAGTACTGTTTTCATCTTCCACATCACTATGCAAGGACTCTAATGAACCAACCACTCATCAATTGTCGGCCACATCTCAGATCGATGAGTTAACAAAGAAGTTTGTGAAGTCAGCAGAAGGCATGTGTAAAGCAAAGGAAAAGGAAATCACTCAAGGCTAGCTTTGTGCTTCCGGCTTCGGCTAATCTGAGAGACTATATAGGCGGTAGGCCATTCCTTTCCATACCAGTTGCATTCCGATTAACTTTTGAGTTAGTTCATTGGCCACATTTCTTTCAACTGATGTTCTCAGCTAGATTGCGGATTAGAGATGTATTGCTTTGGCTGCAAGCCATTCTTCATGTACACTACATACTGCCTCAGTTCCTTAGTGAAAAGGAGGAGGATTAGTTCACGTCTTCATGTTTGATAATCCATAGATCATGAACTGAATCCATGTAGGTTTGAATTCTCCTCATGGATATTTGATTCGCTTCAAACGTTGTAGCATTTGAATTCGACATAAAACGTTTCGCTTTCTTCTTCCTTACCATGTCACATTTTGTTCTACTATATATGGTTACCATCTTCATTAGTGAGTTCGGTATAATCCTTTGATTCACCAACTATGGTCATATTTTGTTCTACTAAACTTCTCGGATTGAAAATGGCCACTTTTAACTACAGGTGGATCAAAAGAGAACTTTACAAAATCAAGAACTCTCCACAGCTTACTTCAAGAAGAAGTAAACTCCTCTCTAAACAAAACCCCCTCATCATCTCTCTTCTCTCTGTATACTACTTCCCCATCTTTCAACCGCAGATAGCCTCTCTAGTAACCAGCTTTATCCCTCTAACCCAAAGCTCAGCCATCTTATCGCCACCATCACAGACGAAATGAACCTCTTTCTTCTTCGTGGTCATCACCCGAAACAACCCAGGTGACACCTCACCATCTCCTCTGCTCTTCCTGTTCCTCCGAAACACTTTACTGGCTCCCACCTCTGCATCCAAGCAGACCACATTCCTCCGACCACTCTTCCCCCACGTCAAAACTCCTGTCGCCACCACCATTCTGATCTCCTTCTCATGAGCCACCCCTCTGCCTCCCTTGGTATGCTTCATCACGCGACACCCTTGAGTAACAAGCTTGCGTGCAAGCTCGTCGAGTATCTTGTTCCTCACTTCCTTGTTCTTAGCCAAAGAAACTGCAGACTCGCCTCTGGCATTCCTGAACTCGCAGTCAGCACCATGAGATATCAACAACTCGCACATGGACTTGAAGCCACCTTTCGCTGCCAGCATCAGCGGAGTGTACCCATCTCCGTCTGGAACGTTGACATCGTAGCCTCTACACGTCAGAAGCTCTGCTGCAGTAGTGTCCCCACGACGAGCAGCACAATGCAGTGCGTAAAACCCTCCGGAGGAGGAGTTTCTGTTGCCTTGCTCGAGTGCAAACTCGAGCATCACCTTCTCAAATGAGTCGCGGTTTGAGTTCAGCTCGGAGATTGAGATGGCTGTCTCGCCGGCTTTGTTCTGTAGCTTGACGTCGGCCCCCGCATAGACCAGCACCCTGAAGGACTCTACACGGCCGTGTAGAGCTGCGCACATTACTGCAGAGTAGCCGTTGACCTCATCTTGGTAGTTAAGGCTGACCTCCCCTGACTTGATCAGGTCCTGCAATGCCTCAGCGTCGCTGGATTGAGCTACGAAGAAGAGAGGGTTGAAGACGGACAGACTGCTCGAAACAATGACCTTTTCACCATTTCGTGCTCTAATTGCTTCGTGTACTGCTTGCTGGAAACCGAGCGACCAGCGGTTTGCTGTAGCCAGTGAGAGTGCAGATTGGCCTGCGTTGTTGAGTAGGCCGAAATCTGCACCGGCCATGGCGAGTACTTTGAGACACTCGCCGTGTTTGTACCTTGCGCTGATCATCAAAGCGGTGTCGCCGGAGTCCGTGGTGGAGTTGAGATGGCAGCCGGAGTTGATCAGGAGCTTGAGGATTTGTGGCGAGCCTGAGCGGGCGGCCATGTGGATTGGTCTGAAGGCTTGTTTCGAAGTATGAACAGGGGACTCTGCATCGGCGCCAGAGGTTAAGAGCACGTTGACAGCGGCTGGGTTGCCGCAGAGGATGGCGTGGTGGAGCAAGGTTCTACCGTGGTGGGTGGTATTTGGTGAGAAGTGTTGGAGGAGGATTCTCAAGATGGCTCCGGTGGCTTCGAAGTACTCGACGGCGCACCATGCGATGCCGTAAGGGTCGGCTAGTCCAGCGCCGACCCGGAACTCCTCGCCGGTGGTTGTGTCCCATGACCATGCTCCTAGCCTCACTTTCACATCAGTTTTCGCGCCAGCCTGTGTATATTGTCAACCTGATTAGAATCCTAAGTGCATTCAGGTGTGTTTGTTTCCAAATGTAACTCATTTGGAAGTAATCATTGTTTAAACTTATAATAATCATAACCGTTGATACGAATAAATAATTCGAGTTGAAATTATAAATATGATAAATTAATAATTTGTGATCAACAATTATATGTCCCCTGATATCCATACCATAAAATCATACATCTGATTTCTGATGTATAGTTTAGATTTATGCATTACCTTTAGCAGCAAGCGAACTACATCAACCTGCCTAGACACAACAGCAGCAACAAGCGCAGAGCAGTCAACATTGGTGTGGAGGGAAGGCTTGGACGACAACAATAGCAATCTGTCGGTGGCGTTGAAGTCCACACCACACTGCAAAAGACAGATCACAGAAACTGTTGAGCACAGTGACTAATGATTCAAATGTCCAAATTCATTCAATTTCTGAATGCTACGAACTTAGCCCATGAGCGAGGATGTTCTTTTTGTTATGTGGGGGTATCAGAATATTTCAATGATTGAATAATTTTCGTGCTTGCTGACCTTCATAAGGGTATCGACAACATCGACGAACCCACGGCAGGAAGCGGTGACAAGGGCATGCACAGCAACATGGGGCCGAATGAGATCAGACCCCATCAATGCTTCGGCCAACCTTGCCCGCCCTTGGTGACAGCTAGCTTCCAGGAGGGCCTCTTCACAAGCCGGCTGAGACGCGCCAGATTTGAGCAAGATCTCTAGAATCTGGAGGTGGCCCTCTCTTACTGCTGCTGTTGTCGCAAACCCCCTGAAGAGCTTCTGGTTCACGTCAGCTCCCACGCTCTGCCATTGAATACCAAGCACATTATTTAGTACTACGAGCACACACACACAAAAAGACGGTGAAAAGACCATTGCTTTGTTTACTCTTTCTTCAATTAAACTCCGAATGAGCTTCGGAAAGCAGACAAATGAAATGCTATTTTAGGCCAACTTGGCTGGCATCTTCTTTCGAGTACAAATTATACCCCCCTGGCCATAAACTGACAAACAGGGCCAATAATATAACATGACAAGATAGACAAACTGGCATGGAACTTGTGTGAAATCTAGTCATGAGGAATCAATATCGATCCATCCATCCTACAGTAAAAAGTTCAGGTTAATTTTCACCTTACAGGGTAAAGAGAAGACAGGTAGTAATGGGCTTCACGAGTAGTCATTGAAGATAAGTTGGGGGAAATTGCAGCAGGATAAATATGTCAACAGTATATGTCTCCCCCAATGAGCTATCAGAGCAATATAAAAAACCCATAATATTGACAGCCAAAAACAGAGACCCTTCGAGTTATTGCATTGTACTCGTATAGAAACAAATCATGCCGTACACAAGCTGTAAGTAACACTGTTTTCTGCCATTGCCAACCCAACTTGGTTTTACTACTACTCCCATTGGCAAAAGGAAAGCTCTCCTACTGAAAACTTACTCGACACAGCAGTAAAACCAACCATTAATAGGGAGCACCTTTCGTCAGGGCAAATGGAGGTTTTACCGATCTCTGACTTAATTACCGCATTGAAAACAGGTGGGTAGTAAGTAATAAATCACTCACAAAATCACCATGAACAAGTACAAGTTTCTAACCAAACAAAAAAAGTACAAGTAAGAGCAATGAGGGCCATTAGTACCGCCGGATGAATCAGCTTCACTCTGGTTTTCAACCTTATTTACTGATCAGTATTGGTGGAATCGCATCGTACCAGTTAGTTAAAGTAGTATGATACGAATATGATCAAATTGACACGTTGAATAAATAAATTATTTACCCTGTAGATGCTAAACTAAAGTTGGGAGAAGTGGTTTCAAATCAATCGGCGTGCTTGGTGGTAGCTTCAGGCCCGCAGTAGGGGGGAAAAGGTAGAATGCCTAAAAAGATGGCTCAGTTTCGAAATTTAACTGCCCCGCTAATTGTTTTTTTACTCGTCGGTTTTGGCTTTAAACCCTGATTTCTCAGGCGAGAAAGGCACATTTCCATAATTTCAAGCTGAAAACAGTTTAGAAATGGAAGATACCGCCAAAAATGAAGGGGGACCAAATCCAGACTTCCACGGAAGCGTAAAGCGTTACATTCCGAAATCGAAATTGGAGTTTTTCAAAATTCAAACAGCTCGGATAATCGAAACCAGAGGGCGGGAACGAGTTCGACGACTCGCTGAGACTCGGCTCGGACCGAGTCCAATTCAAGTTAACAACTCGAGATCAATCAATCGGAGTGAGCGATTCAGAGAAATTAGTTTACCAGGAGGTTCCTGACGAGAGCGACGTTGCCGGAGTGGACGGCGAGGAAGAGAGCGGTGACGTCGGTCCTGAACTCCTCGTACTCGACTCTGACCTTGCCGGGGGACTCGTCGCGGAGAACGACCTCGCTACGACGGCACTTCAAGCAGACGGCTCCGACGAAGTTGACGTCGAGGGAGGGATCGGGAATGCAGTCGAGTGCGGATCTGAGATCGCCGGCGAGACAGGCTTCGAGGAGCCGCTGCGACACCTCGGCGCCGTAGTCCACCGGGACCACCTGCTTGCCGGAGAACACCGTCATTACAGACTACCACCGGCCGAAATGCGAAAATCGTCGGCGCCGGAGAGTTCTGAAGTACTTTGACGCAGTGATCGAGGGAGAGTTGGAAGGAGTGAGAGTTGCCAGAGCCCAGAGGTAGGCAGGGGAATGAAAGGAAGGAGGGAAGTGTGAGTGACTAAGCAGTCTAAGCTCTAGGCCTTTTATTTATTGGGAGGGAGAAATTTATTATTTAGTATCGGGAGATTTTAATTTTTAATGGGGGCATTAAATTATAATTTTGTAAACGTTGACGGAGGATTTGTGCGCATTTCAATTTTCACGGCGGTTAAAACTTAAAACAGCGGTCGTGGCCGCGTGGGTACACAGCATTGGGCATTTGGGCTCGGCTCGGCTCGGCTTCTGTTATTAATTGGGTCAGATTCGGTAACGGCCGAACAGTGTAGAGATGAGATCTGGGCCGTATAAAAGTGGGATTTTTTCAGGACCTAATGCCGGGACCGTCTGATTCAAGCTTAATTACTGGATAATTTCTACGGGATATGGGATGAGGTTAATTGTAATTTTCCTCCGTCAAATTTTCAAACAGTATAATTAGTACCTGAACTTTGCAATTCTTTATGATTTTCAGGCAAGTAGTCCCTTTAGGAAAATTCGTGAACTTTGGTGACTCGTTTTGGTAAAAACTTGGTATGTGGTCTCGTTTGAGAAATATATCAAAGTTTCAGGGATCAAACTGGACAAAATCTAACTTGTCTTAACTGTTACAGATAGGGTTGAATTCTCAGTTGCAGAATAGTAATTAACTATGAGTCTTTTATATACCAAAAATTGTATTACCCTAGCCATAATAAAACAAAATCATAGCTTGTAATTTTGAATTTGGACTTTGAAAACAAAATACATTACACGACTTAAGTGGAAAGATTCTACTTTTTAATGTAGTGGGTAAGCTTGTTTTGTCTTGCAATTAGTTCCACAGATTTATAGTCATATACCATCATCTTTGAAGATTCAATTATGTCATTATCTTACATAACACCCTCATGTGGAGTCAGTGACAAACCAAATGGGTCTCGAGACTTATCTCGACTGTGAAATAAGACAAATAAACAATTTATATTCATCGCATTTTGTATATATTAATCTTTCTAATTTCTTACATAAATATACTAGACATACAAAAAAAATTCGATCAGCAACAGACATGACCTGGTACGTCCATACACTTCGCTTCTAAAGGCGATCCGGAGGAAACTGGCGCAAGAGTGATTGGTTAATGTCATTTATACATACTGAGAAGAAAAATAAAGTCTTGTACTGGCTCTCGAAACATAGTCTCGTCTATTGCTACGGTATGCATGAACTTGCTAACCCATTCTCAGGAGTGACCCAAATTCTTAGAGACGACACCATCGGTATTTCTTTATAGAGTCGTGTTGTGATCGACACACCCCTCTACCTCTCTATAATCATGCCTTCCTAGCTTGTTCTGTTTTCTTGGCTTCGGCCTCCAGTATGTACATATCCTTCAATTTACTATTATGCGATGTTGTTGCTTGTGAAAGAGGCTACTTACTTACCAATCAATGATTAGGTTGTGAAAATTAGTTAGGAATTCTCAGTCTCACGTATAACGACCACCACTTTTAGTTATAATCATTTGACCCAACAAATAACACGAAAAGACATGCAACAACCTTCACTACCAACCTACAAACCTTTGCGCTTCTTGAAATTAAACAACAAATTAGGATATTATAATATCATTTTTTTATATAGTTCATCAAGTAAATTAATCAACCAGAGACAAAACAAATGCCAAAAGGGAAAAGGATAGGCAAAGCCTGCAGCTCACAGTTTTGTCTTTGTCATATGGTCCAATTTTTCATTAACCCGTCAAAAAAGTTACAAAGAAATCTTACGCAACACTCTTCTACTGTTCCCTTCCTTCCTTTCTCACACCACGTAGCCTAGACATGGTCAAAGATCCCATTTTATACAGAACGCAGGACAGTAAAAGATAACAAAATGTTTAAAAAAATATATACTTTATTATTTAACTACGTACCCTAGTGCCAGTGAACAGGCTCTTACTTGAGAAGCCTGCTGGTTAATGGTAATCTTACGATCTCCATGTTGTTCCTTTCAGGTGGATTCCAATTCTTAACAAAAGGATTTAACCCTCACTCACTTAATTACCGCGCAGTAAAAGCACAAATGCACCCTCACCGTCTGATCTAGATGAACGAACGTTAGATGATGATAACATGCACCCGAAGTACCCGCTAATCAGATCTCACCGGCCGGAAGTTAGTTTAGACGGCTGCTTACGGCGGGAGGATCAGTAGTTGATCAGCTGCAATATTGCTGTTATACTATAGCAAATTACTGATTAGCAATGGATGCATAAGCAGTCATAGTCCGACGTGGCGGAATCCTATGGACCCACGTGAAATGATGATCCAAATCGGCGATGAGCAAAGTCGCATGCAGGCAGCTGAGCGATCAGAACGTGGGAGAGAGCTGCGATGGATGGGGGTGTAGGAGACAGAGACCCAACTTTTCTGTGGCGCACAAAATCTCACTTTAAGTAATTAATTAATGGGGCTGATTTAGCAAGCTAAACAAAATTAACCAAATGTACATGTTATCAAATACTGCTCCCCATGTTCATTCCCGTAATATTTTTTACCAAATTAATAGTTAATTATCATCGATTTCCGCAGTTTACAGCACTGCTGCACCAAGTCTGGTTGCTTCCTGCTACTTCTTTTGGAGCGTTTGACGAAAAACGGGGCTCCGTTTTACGTGTCTAGCTTAAGGTAGAAGCCGGAACGGGCACGGGTAAACATTATACAAATGCTATAGCTCTTCGATTCACGAGTCTCTATTGCATGGCCATCTTCCTTAATTACGCGTGCATTTAATTCTCTTGTTCCAAATGTATCGTGCACAAGACGACAAAAATTGAACCAATGAAGGAAGGAAGGTCGAAGTCGGCCAGCTTATGTTAATACTAACTTAATTAGTGTTCCTAGTCCATTTTTTATTGTAGATTTCAAGGTCCAAGATGGATTCGAATCAAAGGATGATGTGGTGTTAATATTTAGGATTTGAAAAGGGCGAGAATATTTAAGATGAGAATAGATTCTGAATTTTAATCAAATTTCTCTAGCAATGGCATGAACAAAGCGTCAAGTAGTTTTTCATTGTCGGAGCAAATAATGATGAATCCGTACGTATGAGCAGTTAGATTGGTTCATGGAGTAATTTTGAGTTCGTAGTAAATCGGATCATGCGTAATTACTTTCTTTCATTAGTTGGTTGTTGGCTTTGAGAAGTAGTTATCCGAAACTGGACCGTATAACCCGGACCGGGACCGGACCGGGACCGGATAGCAAACAATGCAATCTCATATTCGGGCTTAGATTTGAGGTAAAAAACCGGATAAGAGACCCCCAACACCTAAAATCAAGATAAAATTGGGACCGGACCGGTTCAAGACCGGACTGTATCCAATCCAATCTTTGGTCCTTATATTCCCGAAAAGACCGGACTGGGACAGGATCAATTTGGTCCAATTTAACCGAACCAGACCGTATAGCCACCCCTATTGAGAAGTAGTTATATATTGAAGAATACTGAATAATGATGAGAAGAGATTTGTCAGTGAACATTATTGTATAGGTGAGTATGGCCGATCTAGATAGTACTTGGTAACCCATACTAGCTAGTTTACTACACACGTGCACAAATAAGACTGTATAGGAGCTCATCATGCTATCACACACATAATCAACGATCACATTCTCGCATTGGATTCTATCTTTGCCTAAACCATAATTGGGTATATAAATTTTCAACGTAACTTACATTTCATCAATCCATTATGGCGATGCTTCCATGCACATTATGCACTAGTACTAGAAAATTTGTGACTAGGCGACTAAAGGGCTCCGGTCAAAGAAAATCTAATTTCTCAACATTGGAGTATACCAACATTCATTGAATCCATCCAATGTTGACGTGATTACAGTAAGCCGCATCTCTATGTAGAAGAAGGAAGAAGACAAAGGTAATATGTGAGCACCGCCCCATTATGGAGCCAAAAATACCCCCCTAAATCTCGAACCATATATAGATGTGAAGAAACAATAGATTTCTGTTTCATGAATGCGAGCTAAGCCACGAATTAAAGAGAGGTACGTATGCCCATGCCTCTCATATATGCACACTTTCCTCCCATTTCAGTCAATTCCTTTCTTTCTTCGGCCGGGTTGAACGGCGACGACTCATGCATTTGCACCATATATATCTAGCTAGTTTGTAGTACGTGTACTTGCTCTGCTTCCCTTATTATTGTAATGGGTGCGCACGCTGCTGCATATCTAACCCAATTGAATGTTGTCCCCTTCTGGCGTATCTCCTGGTCAATTCATCAAGATATATTTACGTGATTAATAGATAGGTTAAAAGTGATGGAGATGGATCACCATTCTCTGTGAAATCATCATTACACGGAGGAATTATTGATTCGAACCTTATATATTTACATAGGGGTTTAAGAAGTACGCCACTCAAGCAAAGCGCCATATTATATTGCCCCTCGTATGTATATAAATGTTTCACAAAATAACTGTCATCGTCAAACCAATTTATCAATAATCCCGTTGTAGATTAGATTATCACATTGTTGTTAGTAATTTAGCCTATCGACTGTGATATTATGACAATATTAGGCTCAGGGGCGGAGCCACACCTCACATAGGGAGGTCGGCTGCACCACCTTGGGAGGAGAAGCCGACCCAAAAAAAAACAAGCAGGTATAAGATATAGAGGGATAGGATGGGAACTCATGACCTACCTTATATCAACAAAGGTTTTAACCTCTACACCATTAACCAACTCTTGATATATTGTGAACATTTATATTGTTTAGGTGGAATAGTTATAATGCATGTATTGTTCACAATTTATCGTTTTTTTGAATTTTCTGCACAATAATGCATGCATTGTTTGCTTGATGTGAAACAAATTATCACTCAAAATTAATGAAAGTTAAATATCAAGTTTTTTGTGTTTCTTTCTTCTTCCAACTATGCCCTGTCTTGTTGCTTTTTTTTATTAAAAACAAATGATAAGAGTTACATTTCACCCAAAAAGTAAATAATACAATAACTATCAGAGTAACCAAACAATGTAAACTACAATACACCAAATTTTTTTTTATATACATGTATATTATAATGCATGCATTGATGACAATGCATCAATTTAACTGTAACCAAAACCAAACGATCCCTTAGACTTTACCAGAATTCATATACATAAGTCAAAACGCTACTGCGTCTATTCTCCCATGGCCATGAACTACGTGAATACACACTACGATGTCGAATGCGTGATGAATGGTTGAATAATTTTTTGGTAATATATGTTGAGAGTGACATCTTAAATAGGTTGGATGATCAATGTATTTTAATGACTTTTCAAATATGAAAACACACTATGAATTATTGTCAACATTAATATTTATATAATTTTTTTTATTTCCGACCCACCTTAAGCGAAATCCTGACTACGCCCCTAATTAGGCTCTTTTCACTCCATTCTACTAATAATACAACTTAGGGCACTAAAAATCCCTTGTAGTTTGTTCTCTGAATGTAACCTTCTTTTGCCTTTGTATAAGGTGGTCATAGTATATAGTTACTGCAGGGGAGGGGAAGAAATGAAAGGGGTTGCATATTAAGAGCAACAGCACATGTGGAACTTCATAAATGCTGAGGTACGTCGTTAACTGCATTGGTTCTTGCCAGTTTTTGTTTATGCATGGCATGAGATCAAAATTTTCAGACTTCTAATTTCAGCCTGTAGAACTAATGTTCTATGTAGTAGTTAATTATATTCCTTCTCCAAGTATATGTACCAGCTGGCACCCTGTAGAAGAACGGTACGTGCAGTACATAAAAAGAGACGATACATAGCCATGTATGTATATTTAATTTTCAGACTACATATAGTCAATTGCAAAGCATGGTATGGCGTACCATATTCCCTTGTATTTAACTATTTATACACATTTTAACAAAATTTAGCTCAGGCAATCTACAAATAGTGCTTATTTATTAGTCCTCCATTCTCCAACCAATAAAACATCAATTTATTCCCATCAAGAAAAAAAAAACTAGGGGGTCAATTGGATGAGGAATTGTAACGGATGAATTTGACACAATTGTCTCGTTTTGAGACAATTGTACCAAATTGCCTCGTTTGTCAGCAAAAAAATTGGATGAATCAATCTGCATGAAGTATTTTGAATTGATCCGTTTTGAGTCAATTTCAATTACCTGGGGTGAGGTCAGCCGGACAGATAATTCGAATTGACTCATTTCTAGATTGATCCATCCAAACAACCCTAGATACAAATCCTAGCCCCATCAACCCCCAAACAGAACAAAAACATTAACCCGCCGGTAAAACGAAGACCAAAGACGCCAATTCTAAAAAGACATACCAGCATAAGTTAAAAGAGCCATTTTATCGGCACTGTTGCAAGAACATGTATATTCAAAGTAGAGGTGACTTATTCTTTCACTATTATAACCCTTAAATTAATGTAATTGAGTTGGAATTATTCGCGGCACAAAGTTTTGAAAGTCTGCATACATTACAGCTAGTTAGCTAGCTAATCCCAACTAAACATGACTTTTTATACCCACTAATAATTAAAACAATCCCAGAAGATCCAACAAAGTTTGAGACGGATCGAAATCTCCATGGACAAATCATGATCGAGTTAAGTGGTTTGGAAAAGGCAGGGCAATTTTTCGCCGTTTTGGGTTACCTTCAAAATTGGGAACACAATGATGATTTTATATTGACTCATCTAGTAAGTGCCAATTAATCATTGCAATTTCAAAATCGCTTTGCCGCCAAGTTATTAGATGTTTTGTTTTTTTTCCATCACTATATTAATAATGAAGTTACCATATATGTATATGTTAGGGGATTACTTATAAAAGCTACATAGAAGACAAAAAAGAGGGTTAACTAACTTAGCTTATAATCAAATCTCCACGATCGATCTCTATATTTCAAATGAGAAAGGCTGGAGTACTCGACATTGTATTACTTAGCAAGGGAATCTTCTTTGATTAGTTTGTACATACTATACTTATCTCCTAAATTGCAAGTGTCTTTTACCCCCCACAATTATGGGAGCATGTTAATATATATATATATACATTACCGAATGACATGTACGTACATAACTTGAGTCTGGATTTCATAATCACATCTTTAATTGTGAACTCTTAATACAATAGCTTGTTGTCTTATTTGATGGGTCAAAAAAGCCCGCTCTCTTGTGTGTGTTTTGTTCCCCTTCGAGAGTTGTTCGGTATTAGGTTTTTCTTAAATAGGTTGACCATGCATATTCAATGAGTCGCCTAATTAAATAATCTTTCGACGATCATATAAAAAAAAAGTGGTCGACCAAAATCATCATTTCAGTTGCCACCAGAAATATATCATCACCTATAAGTCGGGAGGTGACATACGGTCAACCATCGTGGCGACCTTTATTTATGTTCACCGAAATATTCTGAACATTATTTTCTAAATGTCAGCAACTTTTTTTTATGGTTGCATAAAATAATTATTTTGTAGTGCATGTACCTATTAGTTTTTACTAGTTGTGGATCTACATGTCCAAGAGCGGATATATGTTCCTCTCAATATTTCATTGTAACATGTTTATTTCTTACATGGTTAGAAAAAATTATAAAGTGATTGGATTATGCCTAATGGCGGCCCTATCAAGCTAGGCAGGCGCCCCACCTCCAACTTCCAACTCCAAAATTTAGGGTTGAACGCCTACGCCAATTAAACCGCCAATCTAAAATCCTACCTTCGCTATTGATTCTTGTCATGTACAAGTTATTCTATCTATTGTCGAGACTCGGGAGGGAGAGTGCCTTCCCCAAGCCAGAGCTCATTTAGCAGTATGCACGGTTGAGTTGACATATCTAGCGAGGAATAAGTTTCATACTTCATATTTGGGCCCAACCCAATGAATAAGATCCTTAACAAATAACGATCCAATGGCCCAGAAAGGCCATCCCCAAAACATTCCTGGGCCTAGATAGACATTCACCTCACTCACTCAGCCCAAACCACCCGCTGACCAGACATGCTGACATATCCAATCCACCAATAGCGCCAAACGGTGACTGAGCAGCCACGAAACGAGGTGCTATCTTCTACGATTGCTACAGCTACTTCTGATAATAGACCCAAAAAGGACTTCTACGACTCCTACCCGTTCGTTGAACAAGCAACCTCAGTTTCTGGAAAACCAGCGAAACAAGGACGACGGACGATCGAATTCCGGCGAAAAATAATCGGAAATGGGCTCGGCGGCTACCAAAGAAGATAAGAATCAGCCAAGTCGGTTTTGCTTCCTTGCTACTACTCAGCTCACTCAATTGCATGTTCACTGCAATTTTGAATTTCTCCAATTAATGGCGGCCTGGACATTTTTATTCTCAGGTTCTCCAGGGAAGGTTGCTGTCGTCGGTGCCAGTGTAAGGTAAGCTGTTTCTGGCTGGTTGGCTAGCTAGGACGTTGAGTCTTCGTTGCTTATAAGCGAACTAGTGAATGATGGCGTTTTGTAAGTGGGGTTGAGCTTCCGGTTGGGATTGTGATGTTTATGGGAGTGGTTTGTTTTGGTGTTGCAGTGGGCTGGCTGCTGCGTACAAGTTGAGATCGCGTGGCTATGATGTTACTGTGTTTGAAGCTGAAGGGAGTGCTGGAGGGAAGCTGAGAAGCGTTTCTCGTGATGGTTTGGTTTGGGATGAGGGGGCCAATACCATGGTACGAAGTGTTGATTGAATTTTGATTCGATTTTCCTTGAATTCATGAAATATTGACTGAGAGTTGATTTCATCCTTACTTGTGATCAGCCATTTTTGGCCTTTTGGGGATGAATGTGTTAGTAGGGTACATCTAATTTTGGCATTTTGGTGATATCTGCAGACTGAGAGCGAGGTGGAAGTCACGGCATTGCTTGATGAACTCGGGCTTCGAGAGAAGCAACAGTTTGTAAGTTCTTTATTCTGTGTCATGCTGAAGATAAATGGTACTAGAAGATCTGACTTTAGCTATTGAAGTAATCAGTTATCAAAAACTGGAAGATGAGTCCTATGTTTTTGAATAATTTCTGGATGATGAAATTGTCATTCAGCTGTTCCCATGCTGAAGTTTTGATTACTTATTTGACGGATTCCTCTGGTTACCATTGCAGCCAATTTCACAGAACAAACGGTATATTGTAAGAAACGGGGTTCCAGTGATGGTAACTATCATTGCTTTTGTTTTTATTGCTTTTGCCATGGCTGATATGCTAAGTTGTCTTCTTGGTTCAACATCTATCTAAGACTGCTTCTGTAACTCTACTCAACTTTTTACGCCAGATTCCTACAAATCCACTTGCGTTGATCACGAGTAACATCCTGTCCACAAAATCAAAGGTCTGGGTTTTAGTTATTGGAATTTTTTTTGCAGTTTTCCTTGTTAACGTCATTTGGATTCACGGTATGACTGGAACAGATGTTTTTTTAGAGCGATGCAGTTGTCAGGCTGACGCCATTTCTCAGTTTGTAGGAATAACACAGAACTGTCAAGACAAGGATTTGAATTTATATTTTTATGTCAATACAGACCATGGGTTGTTGTATACCACTTTTTCTGTTTAGGCTTGCTGAGCATTATAAGATAAATTTTCACCTTCCAGGAACTCTGCATGTTTATTCTGGATGCAAAATAACATGGGAGAGTTTTAAAAGAATTGTTCTAAAGAATCCATCAATTTTTCCTATCTGCGTTTGTTGTTGATGCTCTTTGTGAAGATCCAGCCTGATGTTTAAGCTCGGAAAAATGAGCGGATCCTGTGTTCTTCTGATTGCAGATTCAGATAATCCTGGAGCCTTTTTTGTGGAAGAAAAATGAACCTTCAAAAGTCTGTGATGCTTATGCAGCAGAAAGGTGATCAATCTGTTCACGGATTTGTTTGACTATGATATATTTGTGATTTTCTATTTATGAACTTTCCTTTAGGCACCTTAATGTCTTTTGAGTTATGTCTTTTCGTCACCTTGCAGTGTGGGAGAGTTCTTTGGGCGACATTTTGGAGAAGAGGTATGTACAGCATGTGTTGCGTTGCTCAAGTTGAGTTCATTTGATTCAGTCACATTTCAAGTTATTAGATTTAGATGCCTCAAGATCGTGAATCTCAACATTTTATTTTTTCCTGTTCTGAAGGTCGTTAACTATCTGATTGACCCTATGGTTGCTGGGACAAGTGGAGGAGATCCTGAATCTCTTTCTGTGAGTAACATCTCATTTTTTGGAATAAGTTCTTTATGGTTGCTTCATATTTCGTAAACACAGACCACAATGTACACACATACACACACTTGAAGACACACAGATACGAGAATAATTTGTCAAACAAGACTTAGCATTTCGTTTCGTTGCATGAGAGAAGTTAAAGTTAGAAAAGGCACTCTTATGGCATTTATCTGTCTTCAATTTGACAGCGAGTTGAATCTTAATTGCTGTTAGATTATGCAACTTGTAGGGTTATTACTTCTTCATTGAGTTATGATCTCTAGGGCTGTGTGGTCTAATTTGTCTCTCTTATCTCATTTACCCTCTATATACCTTAACCATACATAACATTCCATGAAACAGGCGCAGCATTCTTTTCCCGAGCTGTGGAATCTTGAAAATCGGTACTTAATTTTATGAAAATTTCCTTTGAATTCTTTTTCTTCTTTACAAATTTTCAGTGTGGAGGTGTTAGCCTAATACTATGCAATGAGATGCCTTCAATGGTCTACTTAGTTTCTAGGAGTTTTTACACTGAGGTAGCTACCAAAAGACTCTGTTGACTTAACTATAATGCCGGTATTCTTGGATGATACTTTTATATATTTATGCTATAAAATGTAAAACTTGAGTCTTTTTTTTTTTCCGTTAAAGCATTTATATTGCTATTTCTTGTCATTTTGGTGTTGATCGGTTTAGCTTAGTTGTTCTCCAGCAGAACTTGGGTGTTGTGCAATCGATAAGATAATTATGTATGCATATTCAGGTTTGGCTCTATAATAGCTGGAACGATCCAGGCAAAGTGGTCCGCTAAAAAGAATAAGGGTGGAGAAACCAAGGGTTCTGGGAGGAAAATACAACGTGGTTCATTTTCCTTTATTGGTGGAATGCAGGTAACTGGAGTTTTCATTGCTGTTTTTTTTTTTTTTTTTTGCTCCGTGTACTATTTTTAGTGAGCTTCAACATTACCCTCTATTATTACAGTGGATAAGATAGATGAGCATTTAAGGGTTTTTCCCTGTATCAGAGAAGCATGAACAATGTATCTTGTGGTTTGTTAGCAAAGATCACATCCATAAACCATCTGCACTTGCATTTTCACCCTTCCAATGTTCTCACACATATACACTTCTTGTGTACTATTTGGCACTTCATTTCATGATTCTGGTAATAGACTGAATTTTTGCTTTCCTCTTTCGTGTCTTCTTTATTGTAGACACTTACTGATAGACTATGCAAGGAGATTGAGAAGGATGAGCTTAAACTAGGATCAAAAGTTTTGTCACTTGCTTACAATTGTGACGCCAAATCAACCCCAGCCAACTGGTCAATTTCATATGCATCTAATAGCGACAAGCCGTCACACTGTTCATCCTACAATGCTGTCGTCATGACGGTTAGTAATCTTCACTGTTCATTTATCGATCCATACTATTTGCCTCTTTCCTTTGGACCGTACTTTTAACTTCGTTTTTTGATAAAGGACATAAAAGCCAGTGTCCATTAAACCGTACCGTACCGGCGGTTCAACCACGAAATACCAGTATCGGAGGCTAAACCGATATGCGGTATTTACCGGTATAACGGTTGAACTACGATTAAACCACGGTTATACTATAAAATACCCTAACGCTGACTTTCCCGGTATGGTCTCCGGTATGGTTTCATGGACCATGATAAAAGCACAGTTGGAAAACAGCCTACGAGGCATAAGCTGCTCAGATACAAGAACACCTTGACAAAAAGACGAAAAAAGAAAAGAAAAAACTTGCTGATCAAAATATACAGAACCAAAAATACTAAATCCATGCTCTGACATGGTGTTTTAGTTTGCTTGAGCTCTGATTTATCAGTCTCACATATATGTGCTTGTGGATGGACCCAACGATCTTTCCAGACTACATCTTTCCTTTTTGGCTTCCAGATGATGAGCATTCTGTGCTGATAATAGCTTTATCATCTAGGCACCACTGGACAATCTGACGGAAATAAAGATTACAAAAAGTAAAGAAATCTTTCCACTGGACTTTCTTCCCAAGGTACTTACTACTGCTGTGAGGTCCATATCCATTAGTTTCTGTAGTCTCAATCTTATAAATCGTGATATATCATGAAACAGGTCCAGTACATGCCACTCTCAGTGTTAATTACTACTTTTAAGAAAGAGAATGTTAGGAGGCCGCTTGAAGGATTTGGGGTTCTTATCCCCTCAAAGGAGCAACAAAATGGTCTAAAGACCCTTGGTAATGCGTTGTGCTCAATGGAATGAAATGTCCTCGTTTAATTTGAAAACTTGTCATTTCACACATACTATATCCCGCAGGTACTCTCTTTTCCTCTATGATGTTTCCAGACCGTGCACCAGATGACCAATATCTCTACACAACCTTTGTTGGTGGAAGTAGAAACAAGGAACTGGCAAAAGCTTCAACGTATGCTATAACTTTTGCCATACAATTCTCTTCTTTGTGTTTGCAGCAAGTTCTCCAAGTTAGTTATAAATATTATGGTTTATGTACCCTAATATTCCCGTACATCATGTTCACAGGAATGATCTGAAACAGATAGTTACATCTGATCTAAGGCAGCTGTTAGGAGTGGAAGGAGAGCCCACCTTTGTCAAGTACAAATATTCCTTTATTAATTTTTATCAAGCTTTTGCAGTACTTTTTCTAATATCAACGGAATAGCATGTTTTCATACTACGTGTGGTATTCTGTTGGCAGTCATTTTTACTGGAGCAAAGCATTTCCCCTTTACGGGCGGGACTATCAATCCGTACTAGAAGCAATAGACAAAATGGAGAAAAATCTCCCGGGATTCTTCTATGCAGGTATCTCCATATTTATGTCACTTTCTTATCAAGGAATGCCCATAATGCTATTGAAGTTATGAGCTTTAAAGGGGAGTGGTGATATCTTTGCATAAATGTTCTCCATATCTGGTATCTTCTTATCTGATTTTGAATGTTCGACTGTTTTAGGTAACCATAAAGGTGGACTGTCTGTTGGCAAATCAATAGCCTCTGGTTGCAAGGCAGCTGATCTTGTAATCTCCTATCTGGATTCTTCTTCTGACAACATGAAGCCAAATTAAGGCTTACCTTCAAAGCTGTAATTAAATATACATTTGTAACTTTTGAGTGTAGAAAACAGGTCAGAGGACCTCAGTTGTAACTTTTGGCTCGCAGGAACCTTTTACACCGTGTAATGCTACTGTTGGTTGACCTTAAATGCAAAATCAACTTCTGAACTTGTACCTAATACGTTTCATTGTTTAAATGCTTCAGTCCCCTGTTTTATGTTGCTGACTCTTGCGATTTCAGGTAATGTTTTTCGCATCTTCTGGATCAAGTACTACTAACTCTCTCTTTTCACGCAGATTTCTAAAGAGGATAATGATTGAGTCGAAGTTCTTAATCAACTATCAGAGGGCATGAAGAAAGCGAGAAAGGTTGGAGGGAATTGGAATGATCTGCAATCTTTTGATATGGGTATGATCTTCCAGCTGAGGTATTAACAAGTAATAACTACTTAGCAATGAATGGCTGAAGATGAGTTTGGTTGTTAATTGAAGCATTGGATAGAGTAAAGCAAGCCACGAATATCGAGCTTGCTCTTTCTTTTTGGCTGCTTCTGTCAGTGGCTATTTCTTACACATGTATGGTTCCTGTCTGGGCAGGTGGGCCCCTCCTTTTATTGTCCTTAATTTGATGCCCTTTTCTCTTTGAGCTGCCATTAGTCTCTAGGATATTACTAACTTGGACTCTTTGTGCTGTAGGATTGCTGAAATTATGGACGCAGGGCAGGACCAACTATATTAATAAGTTCCCTCAAAGTAAGTGTCTTTCGTTACTTTTCATCATTGGCATCGTCCTTCTTGTACCCACTTAGGGAATCGAATCTCTATGGTCGTTAGCCTTTTAATCACTCATGAAATCATTCACCTCAAAATCCATGCTAATTAACGTGTTAATTATCATCCTAAGCACCAACAGGTCATCAAAGTTGACTAGGCCAGTTGGCTTCTGTTTAGTTCCTTAACAGTCAGTTTGCTGTCAAATTGCCTAGGCCCCTCTCTGTTCAAGATGTTTTGTCCAATTGTGTTAAATGTCAAAATGGTCACTGGACTACGAGTTCTGTAACGAAATGGTTATCAAACTAATTTTTTTAACAAAATGCTAACTAAGCTAAGTACTTTAACACCCTTGGTAATGAGGTTTAGAAGTTTATCTATCTCTAGTCCATTGTTCAAGAACCAGAGCTGGAATGCTAGGGCTACATGACCATGATTAGATAGTGCCCTTGGCAGTGGGGAAGCAGGGTGCTACTGGATAGGCTAAGGTTGGGGGCTCTGGTCCCCTATTATTGAAGGATCCTAGTGTCAAGAACCAGTTGCTCCCAATAACTCGAGTTGTTGGGAGAGGTTCAATCGTGAATCATATACCACAATACTAACACGCCCCCTCAAACGAAAGCCACTCATAAGGGTTTGAAGTTTGCACAGGTACGAAGACAAGAATACTATGTACTTAACAAATGGGGGTCACCGGTAATCGAACACAAGACCTCTCGGTCACAGAAGGCTCTGATACCATGTCAAGAACCAGTTGCTCCCAATAACTCGAGTTGTTGGGAGAAGGTTCTGCTGGATCTTATACCACATTCTAACACGCCCCCTCAAACGAAAGCCAATCCATGGGCTTGAAGTTTGCACAGGTCCACCATACCATGTGCTTGAAAGACAACGGTTAATATTGGGGGTCGTGGAGATTCGAATACATGACCTTTTGGTTCGAGGCTCTGATACCATGTCAAGAACCAGTTGCTCCCAATAACTCGAGTTGTTGGGAGAGGTTCAATCGTGAATCATATACCACAACACTAACACCTAGGAGCTTGGTTCGGGCATCTTTTCATTTGAAAGGAGTTGGACGAATCCACTGTCCATGTGGAATATGGGAGGGCTTGGAAGGATTGACCGAGTTAGTCAGATCCCATAACCCCAAGTTGTAATATAAATAATACTCTGCAGAATCCAGCTAATATTTGGCTGACTCCCAACAAACATGCCCCTTTGTCTGGACATGAACTGAAGGATAGCCATCGGTATCCGTATTATCACCTTCTCTCTTTGTTTATCAATAGTATGATAAGCATAGATTAGCATAATTAATATGTAGCTTAATCTTGGGTTTGTGGTGTAGAAAGAGTCACTTTCTCTGTAGAGAGGTGGGCATGGGATTTGTTCTTCTCTTACAACGGATTTGTCTATCTTAACGTGGTTTTGCAATCTCTAAAGTAGGATTGCCATGTGGGCAAAGCTATTGGGCCCACCACCACCCTCCTGTTAGAGCCTTGTTTTCTGGTTCTAACTGTTCTCTCTCTAGTCTCTACACTGAGAAACACAAATTCCAATGCCTGCTTTGTTCCTTTCTTTTACACCCTTTTTGTCTGAATGATTCTCTGAACTTATCGAAGTTACAAAAAGGATTACTGAAGTTGGGTAAGTTCATCTGCTAAACTTTATAATATGAATGCAGCAAATGCTAACATAGACAGTATTTGTTGGTCAAATTAGGACCAAACGAAGGGCTCTCTCGACCTTCTATTCCATTTTCCTTATGTTCTTTTCTTTCTTCCTCCCCTTCTTCCTATCCCTGTGAAAATTAGGGACCCTTATTTAATTCGTAACATAAATGTGCCCTTACCTTCACTTCTCCCTCTCTCACTATACGGTCCCTTTTCACCAACTACCCACCTCTCAGTAGTCTTATTGTTCCTCTAGCTCGCATTTATTATTCCTTTCTTTGATTAATTTTTTCTACATATATACTTCCCAGTTTAGTTCACTAACAAGTTTGTCGCACGGCATTTAAAACTTTGCGGTACTGAGTACAACAGCATCATTTTTCATTTTCCTCCCGACCCAACACTTCATAAAAAAAATCACCTCTGTTTCCAAAGCTCTATTCTTTGTCCTTCCCCCTGTCTCGTGTAAAACTTCTGCTTCCTCGGTTCTTTGTTTTTACTCTAGAAGAAGGAAAAACAGTCATTAGAGAAGAAGTTAGCTTTTGAAGCTGTTTTCATTAGGAGTGTCTTTATTCCTTCCTTGGAAGAAGTGTCATTTTTTCTGATTTCTTGTTGATTCGCTTCCCCAGTTTTCATTTACTCGAGGAAGTCTGAGTTTCAGCTTCTATTTCTTCATGGGTTTCCTCCAATTTGTCTCAAAGTTTGTTCCTTTTTGAACCTTTTCCATATCACAAGCCAAGTGTAAGATTTGTCTTCAATGGGTCGACTGAACTGGCTTCTCCTGTTGTTCCTGTTGTGGGCTTCCTTCTTTATTCCATTCTCTCATCAGCTGCAAACCTACCAGGCTCAGCTCCTGATGCAACTGAGGAAGCATTTGGAGTACCCTCATCAGTTGGACATTTGGGAAAACTACAATGGCGACCTCTGCAACTTATCATCTACTCCATCCATCAGCATTGCCTGTCAGGACAATCTGATTACAGAGTTGAAGATCATGGGAGACATGAAGCTCTACGAGGTCAGTGATTCTTTCACCGGCTCCCCAATTCAGAACCAGACTCTATCTGCCAGTTTCTCAATTGATTCTTTTGTCACTACTCTCACAAGGCTGACCACCTTGAAAGCTGTCTGCTTTGTTTCATTGGGGATTTGGGGCCCATTTCCTGATAAGATTCATAGGCTGCACTCACTTGAACTCCTGGACTTGAGCTCAAATTTCATCTTTGGTTCAGTTCCAGCTCAAATTTCAAGAATGGTTAACCTTACTTCCTTGGTTCTTGGTGTAAACTACTTCAATGGAACTCTACCCGATTGGTTTGATTCCTTGTCAAGGCTCACTGTTCTGAGCTTGAAGAGCAACCGTTTTGAGGGCGAGTTTCCTTCTTCAGTTAGCAGAATCAGAACCTTAACAGATATCGCACTGTCCCATAATCAGCTTAGTGGAAAGCTCCCTGATTTGACTGCCTTGACCAACCTCCATGTATTGGACTTGAGAGACAACAATTTTCAATCTAACCTCCCTCCATTGCCGAAAGGTCTAGTCACTGTTCTCTTGAGCAACAACTCATTTTCAGGAGAAGTTCCATCACAATTTGGACAGTTGTCACATCTTCAACATTTGGACTTGTCTTCGAACAATCTCAGTGGAATACCTCCTGCTTCTTTGTTCTCATTGCCAAGCATCAGTTATCTCAACTTAGCGTCCAATGTGTTTAGTGGGTCACTTCCAATCCATGTCGCCTGTGGTTCCAAGCTCGGGTTTGTCGATATCTCCATGAACAAGTTGACTGGTGGACTCCCGTCTTGCTTGGAGAATAAGAGAGTAGTGAAATCTGGTGGGAATTGCTTAGCAATTCATGCTGATTCACAGCATCAGGAATCATACTGCAAGGAGGCCAAGATGGTGACGACGAAGAACTCGAGATTTAGAGCAGTGGGGATACTGGTAGCTGTCGTTACAGGAGCACTGGTTTTAATGGGAATCTTTACATGTGGGGTTGTCTGTATATGCAGAAGAAGTTGTCGTCCTAGAAAGAAATTTGAACATAACATAGTATCCAAGGTCGTGCTGGATAATCATAATAGTAGTGGTACTAATCCACCAGCTGATGGTTTTTCCTCTGATGTCCTAGCTAATGCAAGTAAGTTTTTTTACAGGGGTCTTTAATTTTGGCTGTTACTTCAAAAAGATCACTGTTTTGAACTGGTTTTCTTGTGTTGTATTCTTGGACAGGATTTATTTCTCAAACAGCTAAGTTTGGGACACAAGGGTCTCCAGCATGCCGTGTGTTTTCATTGGAAGAGCTGAAGGAAGCTACAAACTTCTTTCATTCCTCATCTTTTATGGGTGAAGGCTCTAGTGGGAAGGTAATTTTTGTTAAAACATATGCACTCCACATCTCCCCCCACAAAATCATTCCATAATGCTGTGAACTCAATCCCATTTCAATTACATAAATGGTTACTAAAGGGTCACTAACTTCTGATTTTTAACAAATTTATCATTAAGTTTGGAATACTAAAATAACGGTTGTTTATTCCAAAGTTCAATGACAAGCCTGTTAAAAAACCATAGTTTGGTGACTGTTTTATAAGCGACACCAAGTTTAGTGACTTTTAATGCAATTTACCCTCTCTGAAAGTGGAAGTGATTCAATCCATCACAATTGCAGTTGCCTTAACTGGACTTCCTGGTGTTGGAATTGCAACAATAAACGTACCTTGTGGGTGGCTGCTTCTGATTACTAAATCTGTGTTTGTTGTCAGGTTTACAAAGGTAGATTGCACAATGGCAACCTCATCGCCATACGATCCCTGACATTGTTCAAAAGACAATCTATCCAAAACCTTAGGGTTAGGCTTGAGTTACTATCAAAGCTTCACCATCCACATCTGGTTACTCTCTTGGGTCACTGCATTGACAGCAGTGGTCAGGACGATAGCAACAAAGTCTTCCTCGTCTACGAGTACGTGCCTAATGGAAACTATCGCTCCCATTTAGCAGGTCAGTATAGATTTCCCTGAACGATAGTAGTATTTCCATGTATTCCCTTCAGTGATAACAATGTGGTGTGCATCTATATAATGCAGAAAGCTTTACTGAGAAAGCACTAAGGTGGCCAGATAGACTAGCCATTCTTATAGGTGTTGCCAGAGCCGTCCAGTATCTGCACACTGGTGTAGTTCCAGGCACATTCAACAACCGATTAAAGACGAACAACATACTGCTCGATGAACACCAGATTGCAAAGCTCAGCGACTATGGCATGCCGATTATCACTGAAGAATTTGAGAAACTTGAGGTGAAATTAATATTCGTGTCGGCTAAACTAGTAAATTGTTGGAACTTTTGTTCCCAGATGAACTAATGTAGTTCTCTTCTGTGATCTGTCTCTGTGCTGTAGGCTAAGGGAGAAGGAATGAAATCAAGGTACACGCTTTTTTCTTTCAGCCCCAGCCCCAGTTTCCATGTCCATGTTAAGAGTTTGAGATAGAATACCTTTGAAACCCAAAGCCAATGCTCTCCGAAAACCTGACTTTCATCCAAATGAGAACAAACCTGACACTTGCTGAACACATGTCTTGTTTCTGCAGTTACAGAATAAATTTAGAGGATGATGTGTACAACTTCGGGTTCATACTACTCGAATCACTTGTTGGGCCAATTGTGACTGGGAAAGGAGAAACCTTCCTGCTGAATGAAATGGTACGTTCCCTAACCTTGTCTGCTTTCTGGTCCAGATATGCTGAAATGACAAAATAAAATGTGAGATGAGAAGTGTGCTAAAATTATTGCAGGCATCCTTTGGAAGCCAAGATGGCAGAAGAAGGATCGTGGATCCAATCGTGCTAACCACATGCTCCCAGGAGTCACTGTCGATCATTGTTTCGATCACGAGCAAATGCATCTCTCCAGAGCCATCGGCCAGGCCTTCGTTCGAGGATGTTCTCTGGAACTTGCAGTATGCAGCTCAGGTTCAAGCCACAGCCGATGCTGACCAGAAATCAGATTCAACCTCATAGCCCCATACCGGAATCAGAAGAGCATAAGTTTATTTATCTACAACCTTGACGAAAAAGGAAACGAGCCATGAACATACAATGACTGGCAGAACAGGCAGCTAGATGCAGATTAGTAGTGATCAGATTGCAGAGTGTATAGAGTTGTAAAGTTCCATACAATAGTTGAACAAATAATGGCTGTAAGATGAAGAGTTCCATTGAGTAATAAAGAGTTATGAGCTATGGTTGGCCTCTTTCTTTGATTGATTGATTCGGTCTTACCAAATGCTCTGTTGGTGGCTTTGGTTGAGAGTTGGCAACTCAAAATGATTACCAAAAAAGGAAAAGATTTCACTAAACTGCAGAAGCTTGGAATACAAGGCAACGAAGGAAAGATGGAGATGAGTCAAATCTCAAGAAGATAACGGGAAGCGAAGAGAAAAGTGGTTGATAGGAGGACCTGAAAAGTGAAAGCAAACATAAATGGAAAACCAAAGTTCAAGCTAACTAACCCAAGCCATAAATGACAAACAACATAAAAACCAATTTGATCTACGAAAGGGTTTCGAGTCTAGTGATGTACCTCAACACTTAGGTGTTTGGATTGAGTATGGACTTCCTATTAATCTTTCTCTCTCACAAAATGTTATGGTTACTGGTTAATTAGTGAATTCATTGTTTGAACTAAAAATGAAAATTCTACTCATTCTGCCATGGATTAAGCTCCCTTGGCAGGGGTTACATTACATGCCTCCCTATTTTGGAAGAAAACCCAAAAAGTTAGTAGTAGTATTAGCATTGGTAAGAATGTTTTTGAGCTCCAAGCCCATTATTGGCTACTCTTTCCACTGTCAATTCACAACCAATTTTGTAAACTAATTGTACTTTTTGTTTCTCCATCAATACGTTTGACTTTGCTTAGATGGATATACGAATGAGTAAATGAAATTACTAAACTTTATACGAAAAATGGAACCCACTAGAAAAAATATAAATTTCCATTAATGTGAACATATAGGTTTGTCGTTACCAGTAGTAAATGCTAGTATTAAGTGAACATTTTTAACAATAAAATGAATGATCAACTTTTGTATCAAATGGAACAAAATTGTGAGTTGTGGAAATGCATTAAAGTGACAAATTTACAATTCGAACGACCAATATAATTTTAGAATATTTTCACAAAATAAAATCACATGTTGTCATCGTTACATAGTCTTATAATATTTTTTATAAATTACAGTAACGAAAAAAGTGAAAACGTGGGGCATTTAGTTTCTTCCTGGTTGGACATGTGTGCCTTTTCGACCAACTTGGCTCATTAAGTCATTATTATATATTTCAGGGTAGACCATAAACGTTCACATAGAGCCAGAAGAAGACTAACAAAGTCCATAATATAATGTGACAATGGTACCGCAAAGAAACATTTTGGTCCGTTAAGTTGTCTATTTGCCCCATCTCAACCCCAAAAAATGTGTATAGTGACAAAGGCCAACAAACATGAAAGTACTCTCTTAAGCCACTAAAACTACAAAGGACATGTACAATCCAATTGAAAAATGCATAGATTGTCTTGTGGATACCCCGCAAACAACTTAAACATGCTAAATGTAAATTATTGGATCATTTTGGACATCAGAATTGTCAGTATCGAAAAGCAAAACAATTTTTTTTTTTACGAATACTGAAATTATGTCGATATAACCTTTGTATGAACTCAACAAATGTTGTTGATTTCCATAAGTTATACAAAGAGTCGAAGACATCATATGTGCATAGACCGTAAGATTAGCAGAAAGGAGATAAACATAAAAAAAAAAGTTTTGTATATCGAAATCGGAGGGTAGCAAACATATGTCTCTCTTCCTCTGCAAGTGTTTCCTCTGTGTTTTTTGTCTAGAGCATTTCACCATTTGGTTCCCCCTTTCTAAGGTGAAGATGAATGATCACTATATCTTTACCGGTTTTCTTTCTTAATAATATGAACACTCGTTTATAAAAAAAAAGTTTAGAAGAGTTTTCTTTTTTAATAATATGAACACTCGTTTATAAAAAAAGTTTAGAAGAGTGAAATGTATGAATATTGCTTTTGTGATATGAAATAGTAATGAAGGTAAAGTTATGGAGTGGTATGGTGAGAACTTTACTTGTGAAGTACTATAGTGTATAATAATGTCGGCGAGTGCAATGCAACTGTGCAACCGAGCCAGTGGATCAAGACAGCGACGGCGGAACAGTCTCCTACTGCCGCCCACGCGCCTTCTCCCACCGGCTGCTCGAGTTAGGTACCTCTAACTTAACTCAGTGACCTAATCAACCTGATTCCACTCGCCGCGACGATTCTCCTAACGCCACTCACCCTTCCACACTCGCTCCGCCGGCGCGTGGCTTGAGCTTCAATTGAATAGGACTAGCGCCTCGTTTGGTTCATCTCTATTTCAATGGTAACCTACATACAATCTTGTTGCTGAAGTGGTTATATGGAATTGAAATATACGGCACGATAAAACAAATTGTTAGGCTGAAATATACGATGAAAGAATCAATTTGGTGGTCGGGATAAAAAGTATTTGTGTAAGCATGAGCCAAAGATGAATTTCAGAGGATTCGAGTCATATTAGTTAAGCCAAAGTTAAATAATAGATTACCAGTTGCTTTATTTTCATGTATTTTGAGTTTTTATATAAAAAGTTGCTACGAGTTTTAATTGTATTTTTCACTAATTTTGAAGTTGATTGGATGGATGTTTTCCTTAAAATAGTGCAATACCACCACCGATTCATTATTCATGAAGCGAAGCAAGAGTGTTTCTGTAGTTTAATTTGGTGATCCCCTCGTCATCGCAATAGTTTCATTACTCTATCAGTTGTCCATTATGAAATCGACTTATAGCACTGATGATCGTATGTAAGCTTTAGATTTGGGACTGATTCCTCTTTGTTGTCTATGTATGACGTAATCTAAAATAAATAAAATAACAATCACATCTTCTAGATCGTGATTACTCTTTCAAGATAACATTTTTCTCTAGTGTTTCAAAACTTTAAATTGATATCACCGCTAATATATATTATCTCCTTCATAAGTTGTATGAGATAGATTTTATCTCTTAGGGTAAGTATTTTTCCAAGTTGTTGAACTTGGGCTACTTATTTACATCCCCAGCTTCTGCTTCAACTACTTCCCCAAATAAGAAGACACAAACAATGCCTTGCATTATTTGTCAATAATTAGCAGTCGCTATCACCTACGCTGGTTTCCAAACGTCGTCGTAGCCTACTCATAATCACCATTAACACTAACACACCGTTTGGCAACGAGGGGGGTGCAAATTAGAGGAGGATGCAAATATGGGTGCAAATTATAGGAGGGAGCAAATTATAGGAGGGTGCAAATCGAGGTGCAAATTGTTGTTTGGGAGAAAAAGTAGGAGGGTGCAAAATGAGGTGTAAAGTATCAATTTTAATATAATAATTATTATTATAACAGAAAAATAAAACCAAAATTAAAAGAACCCACCACCTCTCTCTAATCTTTCCCTCCCTTGGTCCCACCTTCCTCTTCTTTCCACCCATCCCACGTCTGCCTCACCTTCCACCCTTCCTTCTTCTTCCCTTGCACAGTTGCACCCCATTTTGGGGGGTGAAGGAGAATAGTAAAATTACCCCTCCAATGCACCCGCCAACTACTATTGCTAAAGATCCAAATAGGTGCATTTGCATTGGGATCCTTCATTACCCGTCAAAATATGCACCCCCTCCACTTCCCCCTTCTCCCAAACAGAGTGTTAAACAAAAACGCCTCCTTCCCCACTCCCACGAACAACCAGTCATGGAGAAAACTAATGGTAGTTAGCAACGATTTTCATTAAATCAAATCTCTCCCTCAGCTAGTCGACAAAACGTTAATCAGGCAAGAAGAATACATTCCCCCACATCGTCGGTTCCACCTTTATTAGATTTCTTATTTTTTATATTTTTCATTTTTTCTGGCATTGCATTTCTCTTCGTCACTCTCCCTCACTCGGATGCTTGACAGAAAGGTTTCTCATTGGTAGTGCTGCTCGTCTTGACCAAGAGAACGTCAGCCATTCCATTTCTCTCCGGCGGTGCTCTCTGTCGGCGGTTTACTGGTACGAATGCGTCCTTATTGTTAATTTGTTTTTGTTCATTTTTGGTTGTTGAGTGGGAAAGTTCTGGTGAGGCTCGCATTGCGTTGTCGAGGGTGTTCTATGAGTTTTTGGGTGACAAAGGTTCAAGCTTTGTGGTTTATGGGGAAGAATTTGTCGGTGCCGGTGATTTTGGCTGGATCTGGCTGCAACCCTGCTTGGAAAATGTCTCAAAGCTATGAACTTCAGCTTTTCCTTTTTTCCGGGTTCATTGGGCTAAAAATGGAATCTTTATCTCTTTTCCCTCTTGAACGTCTTACTTTCAGTCTTCTGTTTCGGCTGTGTGATTCTCGTGATTGATCACTACACTGTAACATTGGTCGCTTTCCTGGATGTGAAGAAATTTATTGATGCTTCACCCCTTTCTGTTAGCATTTTGAAGTTTAAGCTTCTGTTGCTCGATTTGGTTGCTGGTTGAGTGTTTGAATTTGATCTTAGAAATGGGCATTTGTTGTTTGGTTGCTGGGAAAATGTTGTGATAGCTAGAAAAGTACACTGCTTTTGTGCTGTTAATTGTTGCTTTTGGCAAATAAGGTAAGTGGTTGCTCCAAGCTTAGTTATGCTCACCATTCACCAACCTAACAATGAGAAATTGCAATTTTCACCTTTCTGTTTTAACTTACCATTTTATCATTCTAATTGTTGTTTTTGGTGACTGAACTATTGCAGTAGCATTTTGGACCATACAATGGTTCATGTAAATGTGAAGAACAAGAAGAATGCTTCAGTCCAGTTGAACTACATAATCCACATTGAAGAGATCAAGCCATGGCCACCATCTCAATCTCTGAGGTCTCTCCGGTCTGTACTAATTCAGTGGGAACATGGTGACCGCCATTCAGGCTCTACCAAAGCTGTAGTCCCATCAATTGGGACGGTAGTTGGCGAGGGGAAGATTGAATTCAACGAGTCCATTAGATTGCCAGTCACTTTGGCAAGGGACCTAAAAGCCAAGGATGGTGATGTGTTCAAGAAGAGTCGGATAGAGTTCAACTTGTGTGAGCCTAGGAGGGAAAATAAGGCCCAGTTGCTTGCTACTGCTGTAATAGACCTGGCAGATTATGGCGTGGTAAAAAATACAACTAGTGCTAGTGCTCCAATGAAAAGCACTCGGAGCTTTACAAACAGTTCCCAGCCTGTTTTGTTCATTAAGATCCAGCCAGCTAGTAAAGGCCATCCTGGATCTAAAGTTCAGGATGGAGGCTTATCTAGGGGTGTATCGCTTGATACGAATGGTGGCGATTCGGTGTTGGGGTTGATGAATGAAGAGTTTGCAGAGGAAGCTGAGCTTTCTACTTTCACTGATGATGATGTGTCATCTCACTCTTCCATGAGCAACATCGGAGTTCCTGCTCATGAAAAGGTACATATGTATAAATGGAGTATATAAGATGTGTATGTTTGCATCTTGTGGTAAGCTACAGTTATTTCATTTGGATTACCAATTCAGTTAGTAAAGAACCAGCTTGTTTCAACGACTCGAGTTGTTGGGAGATCCCCAGAAATGACCTTATATTATTACATTACCGTTCTCACAATAATTCATGCTAGTATCATGTGACATAGTACATATATTGTATTTAATGCAATGAGATGTTATCATGCTTTCATTTGTCAGGACCACTTTTGGGGCACTGTTATTCCACATGTCCCTAGGAATCACAAATAGTAAATGGGTTTGTGCTATAAATATATATACAGCAGAGATGCTGACAACTTGGCATTTGAATTGCAGAATGAACCACATGGAGTGACAGATAGTAATGGAGTGCTCATGCAAGAGCATGCAAATGCTTCAAAACTGAGGCTTGAAAACAATATTAATCCACAAGAAAGTTTGAAGGGGAGTTCTTCACGTTCATCATCTTCTGTAGATTTATCTTCTGATCCAGGCAGTCCAATCAACGGTCATGCTTCTGTGGCGAAGTCTCTTGATTCCGCTTCAGTCTTAAATCCAAGGAATGAACAGAGCCTTCAATCCTCTTCGTCACACACTACGGATGTAATAGTAGAGGAGACTGTTGAAAGTCGAAGCAGTGATGACCATGGAAGTTCAGCATATGTGGATGGTGTAGAAATTGAAAGTCGAAGCAGTGAAGACATGAATGAAAGAGAAAACCAGGGAAGTGAACTAAGCACTGAAACCATAGATGAAGGACTTCCCTTGACTGCAGACATTGGAATGAGACGAAGCTTTACGAAACCAGATAGACTGAAGAACGTGAGATCAGTCAGGTCTGCATCAGATTCAGGTAGGAGTAATGGAGGTGTTAGCAGAAGTCTGCCCGAAAGTGAACAAGTTGATGTGCTGGGAGATGATCAGAACAGTGTTGGGAGCATGAGAATTAGTGAAAGAAAAAGTGCCAAGATCTCTCCGAAGGACACCAGCACCACTGTTTTAGCTGGCAAAATGCAGCAGTTGGAGCACAAGATCAAGGTGCTCGAAGGAGAGCTGAGAGAAGCTGCTGCCATTGAGGCTGCACTTTACTCTGTTGTTGCTGAGCATGGAAGCTCCATCAGTAAGGTGCATGCTCCAGCTAGGCGCCTTTCAAGAATGTATCTTAATGTCTCTGGAGTCGCCAGGAGAGCCAGTGCAGCCAGAAGTGCGGTTTCAGGAATGGTTCTAGTGGCAAAGTCATGTGGCAACGATGTCCCCAGGTATGGTAGTTGAAGCTCTATCAGATGCTATATGTGTAGCAAGGCATGCGATAGTTCTTTGATACCTTTGTTTGATAAGGGATAGTTCTTTGATACCTTGGTTTTGGATACTTTATTGCCCAATGCAGATTGACATTTTGGTTGTCAAACTCGGTTGTACTGAGAGCAATCATAAGCCAAGCAATGTATGAGTCAGAGGAAATGAATTGTGCTGAAAAGCGTAATGAAGTGATATCATCATTGACTTCTAGCAGAAAGGGAAAGGGAAGTTCAATATCTGACGATAGTGAAGATTGGGAGGACCCTCGCACTTTCATATCAGCACTTGAAAGAGTTGAAGCTTGGATCTTTTCCAGAACTGTAGAATCCATTTGGTGGCAGGTCTCGTTTCCTTCTGCTACTTTGTTAACATTATTACTTACTTTTTTTCAATATAACTTAACGTTGACTTTTTCCATGGCCCTGTGCGTTTCAGACTCTTACTCCACACATGCAATCTGCAGCCACCAAAGGGATTGACAAAGTGAGTGCTTCAGACTCCAACAAAAACCTTACTCGATCCTCAAGTTCATGCGATCAAGCGCAGGGAAACTTTTCATTGGAGCTTTGGAAGAATGCATTCAAGGATGCCTGTGAAAGGCTTTGTCCAGTTCGAGCAGGAGGACATGAGTGTGGTTGCTTGCCTGAGCTAGCAAGACAGGTGTATATAGAGAAAAAGCCCCTTGTCCAAGCTGTAAAGTTTGCTTAACATTTTGGAAGTTCTTAGGAGTTCATGCTTGTCTTTTATACATACATAGGTGATGGAGCAATGTGTGTCTAGATTGGACGTGGCTATGTTCAATGCAATACTCCGCGAATCTGATGACGAAATCCCCACAGATCCAGTGTCTGATCCCATAAGCGATCCAAGGGTTCTCCCAATCGCGGCTGGGATATCAAGCTTTGGAGCTGGTGCACAACTAAAAAATGCGGTATGGAATCTGAAAGTGACGTTTTCATTTCGTTTGTTTCAGTTATCTGAGTTTATGATGTTTGTGTCAGATTGGAAACTGGTCGAGATGGCTCACCGACCTATTTGGCTTAGACGATGATGATGTTGACCCTTGTGAGGACCACAATGATGACCCAGATGAGGATGATGATAGACAAGACACTTCCTTCAAATCTTTCTATCTGCTTAATGCTCTTAGTGATCTTATGATGCTTCCAAAGGACTTGCTCTTAAGTAGAACCATAAGGAAAGAGGTTTGGCTGTTATCTCACACCTTTCCATTCTATACCTGTTTTACACGCGACTATCTTTACTTACTTCTTTTGCTTTATGGTAAAGGTGTGTCCTACATTTGGGACACCATTAATCAAGAGGATTCTATATAGTTTCGTCTCGGATGAGTTCTGCCCTGATCCTGTACCAAATATTGTCCTTGAAGCCTTAGAGTCCGAGGTGAGTTCCATTTACATTTGCTTCATTTTCACAATCCACCTCCCACTGTCTGTTCTATAATACTAGCTATTTGTTCTCGACAATCTACCCATTTCAATGATCCATCAGCTTAACGGCCCCCCAAATCTTGTTACTGGCAATGGCCATCTTGTCTTATGTTTGAACTTGATGCAGGACAATGCCCCGGCAGAAGAGGGTTGTGTTACGACTGTGCCATGCATTGCAGCTCCTCCAATCTATCTACCATCTTCATCAGCTTCTGTTGCTGCCACAATTGGAGAGCTTGGAAACCAGCTCAGGAGAAGTGGTTCGTCCGTGCTGAGAAAAGCATACACTAGCGACGATGAGCTCGACGAGCTGAAATCGCCTCTGGCTTCAATCTTCCCCGAGCTGATGCCTTGTTCATCATCATCCCCTGCAGCCTGGAAACTGAAGGAGGGACAGAACCCGGTAAGGTACGACCTTCTGAGGGAGATATGGAAGAACAGTTAGTAGTCTGATCTTGTAAACAACCACATAGTAGTACATAAAGAACGGGGACATGACTGTTGTACAAATTTTGGTGGTTCGCCTTCTTCACGTGTGTTTGTACAAATTGAGAGCCCATCTACTCTAGCCATGAAGAAAGACACAAACTTTACATTTACTGAAGTGCCATGGATAGCCATGGCAGTGTTTGATCAATGGGCTTAAGAGTTGCATATTGCTTCGCTCTGAGTTTCTGCTTAGCTGCTGTTGGTTAACCACTAAATAGACTTCAAACCGAACAAATCTGTCTACCCGAATTCCAAGGCATATCACCCAAACGGCCAAACCCACCTTATGACCTTCCTTTATATCACAGATTCACAGTTCAATGCAGTCCAGAAACCAAATATTGAGGGCAGCAAAAGGCAAAGCATAGACCATATTCAAGTTAAAGACGGAACAAAAGAGCACACACAACAAACCAGCCACAAACAACAGGAACAAAGGAAAAGCAAAAGGATCTTGTATTGATAGAAAGCATAAAATTATGCTTGTTTTGATTTAGTAATAACTTTTCCCGGATGCCAATTGTCCTTTTGGCCAAAAACCACTCAAAAGCCCTTACAAAAGCAACAATGCAAACTCCTCAAAATTGCATCTCCAGCTCACAATCTACATATCATGGAAAGAGAAACCCTACTGAATGGAACATAAAGCTTCAAAATTTCAGCTGGCAATTGTTGGTTTCTGCCAAAACAATACTCTCGCATCTCTCTGCGGTATACATATTTACTAGAATCATCAGCCGGGCCACCTCTTGGCATAAAGAAGCTACACACAGATTAAGCAGCAAGCTTCTTGGAAGACAGAACGGCGTTTGCTTGCTTGAGATGCAAAGCAGCCAACAAGCCTTGCCATGTTTCTCCTGGTCCACCAGGGACTTGGAAATCGAGAAGCTTCCTCTGCTCCCTGTAGTAATCTTCCACTGCCTTGCCCTGAAACACACAGGAAAAAGAAGGAAGAAGACATTAGAGAGATTTCAAACAAACACCCAGGAATGACGAAAGCCATCGTTGTTCACGGAGCATTTAAAGTTTACCTCTTCTGCATACAAGCGGAACTTCTCCCCCCACGAACTCTCATCCGATCCACCCACAGACGGAGAATGTCCTAAGCCGACATAGTTTCTTCTCAACAGCTGTTGCTCTGCTGATTTGAAGTTTACCACTAGATCAATGTCAGCAATTTGATCAAGAATCTCCTGCAGAACATTGAGACGAGAAATTGGAACTCCAAATATGGAACATAAGCAAAGAGTCCAAGCATTGCAAGGAAACCCAAGCGATTGAGAGACTCACAGCTTGCATTCTAGTTTTGGGAATACCATCCAAAATGAATCCACTTTCACCTTTGGAGTATCCCTCTTCAAGCCTCTTTGACAACAACCCAAATATGACCTCCTCTGGCACTAGCTTCCCTTCATTCACAGCATTTGATATCTAAAATTGGCCAACAGAAATTTCAAATTCCATTCAGCAAGTTCTCAAATTGAACAAAACCCTACTAAGCACACACACACTTTATGACAAAGGAAACACCAATCTGGTCCAATTCACAGAATAATTCATCAGACATGGCAAGGGAGTCGCAGGACTCAAAGCAAGAAGGAAAAGTACCAGCTTGTAGAGAGCAGAGCGAGGGCTGAGCTCCTGGCGAAGGAGGGTGCCCATGGAAATGTGAGGAACTTCCAGGACCTGCGACAGTTTCTCCGCATAGAGGCGTTTCTTCGCTCCGGGATCGCCGATCAACACCCACTGAACACCTCTCTCCCACGTTGAACCCGCCGCCGCCGCCCGCATGCCCCGTCGCGACGGAGAACCATCTTGTCCGGAGTAATTGCAGCATTCCTCCTCGTCGTCGGAGTACTGGTACTCCACAGCCGCCGCCGCTGATCCGTAGCAAGCTCGACTGGCGGTGAGGAACCCGAGGCGTCGGAGGGCCGACGATGGAGCTGCTGCTACTGCCGCCGCGGATCCCAGTCGGCTCAGCCCGGCCATTTGTCTTTGGGGTGGCGGCGAGAGAAAGAGGAAACTCTCTCTGGAGGCGGAAAAAGAGGGTTTTTCGTGTAGCGAGGAAAGAGAGGTTTTAACAACCGAAGGAGAGGAGGAGAGGCCAGAGCTTGATCCGGAAATGCCACTAGGTTGGGGGTTTAATTACCGTTTCTGCCACAATATTCGTGGGAGCGCCAAATGTCAGGAAACGGTTGGTTTGTATTAAAGTCAATGCCCTTAGATTTTCTGGATATCTGATTGGCTGTGATCATGCAGGCGTGGACTTTCCGTTATGGTGGGCGTTGCTGTAGGTGATTATTCGACGGTGAGGTTCATTTTCACGCCAACTTGAGCTTTGCACTTTGGGACTAGAGACTAGAGAGGCGTCGTCGACTTGTTTGTTAGGGCTACGTACTAGCAACAACAGCATCTTCAAGGTCCCAAGTGGATGATTTGGTAAATATGTTAAGGAAAAGGCTATATCATTAGGGTGGCAGTTCGGTTATTTCGGTTATAACCGGTAACCGATCGGCCGGTTATCGGTTAACCGAAATAATCACCTGCTCTACCGAAAATCGACCGAAATAAGGTTTGGTTTCTCGGTTATCTCGGTTATTGGTTAACCAAATCACTTTTAAGACCAAAAATCATTTTATCCAGCCTCCGATAACCGACCGAAGATCAGTTACTGGTTAGTGGATAACCGACCGGTTATCGGTTTAATCAGTCGGTTAACCGATAACCGGTAACCGAACGGCCACCCCAATATATCATCATGGACATCAGCTGCCCCTTGTTGCCCACAGCTCTCCTCCGGCCGGCAACATTGTTGCATCCCTTGCACCCTAACTTATGTTACTCATACAAAGAAAACAAACCTCTTGGTTATATGGCTCAGAGTCACGGGCCTTTCAAGCCGGCCCGTCATATTTCATCAACGGCCTAAAAGCCCATCCAGAAAGCAAATCCGATCTGAAGTATCTGGCTGCATGGCTGAATTCTCACGTAGCGAAAAAGTAAGCATGCTGGCTGGTTTGCCCGAGAGGTTAAGGGGGAAGACTTAAGATCTTCTGCACATAAGTGCGCATGGGTTCGAACCCCATAGCCAGCAATTTTATTTTCTTAAACAACACTTCCTTTGACTTCTTCCATCCATAGTCTCCACTCTTGCAACTCTCTTAAAGTTCTTTAGCATATTGAGTGTTTGCTTATTATTTATCACAGTTGCGCTTTCTTTCCCAACTTTTCATCCTCTCCATTAGAGTTCTTTAGCTTATTGAGTGTTTTTCTATTGTTGGAACAGTCTTCATTGGACTTCTTAAGATATCTCCACATAAGTGTCTGTGTTCGAACCCCACAACCTTTTATTTTTGCTTAAACAACACTTCCCTTGGCTTCTCCCGTCCATAGTCTTCAGCGTATTGATCACGGTTGCACTTCCTTTCTCAACTCCCCCTCTCCATTAGAGTTCTTTAGCTTATTGATTGTTTTCGTATTGTTGAAACACATTTGCACCTCCTTTTCTCTTCATTGGACTTCTTTAGACATGGAATATTTGCCTACTGTGGATTACAAATATATTCTCTTATTGTTTGTGCTCGGGGAGTTTGGAATGGTGGATGGACATGGTTGCCTTTCGACACCATCTTGTTGTTAGTTAATTCGTACTCGATCGTGAGTTTGGAAAGAGTGCAACATGCCTTCAAATGAAATCTTGAACCAAGAATCAACAACTGGTCAAGTATGCATGAGTAATGTTATTTCTTTAAGGACAAAAATATAGTAGTAGTGTTGCATATCTCCTACCCTGTGAAGCAGATTCATTTTGAGTATGGGTATTCATGAGCACATTTGTTACACCATAAGGTTTTCTGCCCAGATTTACATCTCATGTCAATTGCCGAATTTCATTGAAAGAAAACTGATACCATATGTACTCATAAGCATATCAACCCAAAACACGAGTAATTCCCTAGCTGCAACTCCATTCATTAGACGTGGAAAAAATCCACAAATCCATAAAACTCATACGATCTTTCGGAATATCAATTCTTATTAATTTACTTCTTGTTCTATTATCCACGGTATGTAGCTCTCGTGTCGCTTACTTTTTTTTTGTTGTGATTCTATTAATACATGTGCACACGTTTAACTATCTAATCTTAATTGCAACACGAGGATCTCATATATATGTCGTCATCTAATACCCTGCTCCTTGGCTTGATGTATAAGTTAACTTGCCGTTTGTTGAAGGAGATTTATATTTGAGCTTTTCTTCTTCACATGGAGAAGGGGGGAATATTCTCAGAAAATAGTAACCTGACGTCATGCAATACCTTAAGACACACGGTTCTACAAACCAGGCAGCCACCGCGGGAAGTTGTAAACCAAGTGGGGAAGGCGTGCGGTGCGGCAACCCACAACTACCAATCTAAGTAAAACTGTACCTTCCATGGCTCGTTCCTTTTCTTCTTCTTCCACTTGAAGTCAATTTCTATATATCTTTAGCCTTAAGTTTGACCATGGAAAAATCCCACAATATATAATATTGTGCTTTGGTTACTGCACCTTCCTCGTCTTCTCCCATCAATTGGGAAATCCTCTATCCAGGAGAATGGAAGAAGATGTCTATGTGGCTCGTTTTGATTGGCTTGGACCTTTTTTAAGTCAACTAATTAATCTCGTGAATATATATGAATATGAGCTGTCCCAATCTATAACATCAGAAAAGTGTAAGCAAAGAACCCTAATGGACAAGAAATGCAATATTAAAGAAAATACAAACACAAAGTACGTAGTTGTCATGACATGCATGATGATATATCCCTTGTTATGGAAGGTGCTTCACACAAGCAATATATAAAAATTGGATTTGCTAATTAATCGTTATCTATTCAAAACTTATGGATCCAAGTAAGGATGCAAATGAGCCAAACGTTATTGTTCAGTTTCATATATAAAAAGTCGATGAAAATCTCGAGCTAACACTTACTTTAAAATAATCTTTTTGATATAAAATCCCTAAATCATAGAGCCCTGTTGTTGTTATGAAGGAGTAAAATTTCAATTGGGTGGTATTGCAAATAACCAACTGACCCTTGTAACTAAAAAAGAATAAATTTATGGGAACAAAATTGTGATTCCACGTACAATTGTATTGGTAATTTTTTTCTAGTTGAATCGATAACTTTTATTGCCAATAAGAAACCGATACAACGAAGCGGGATCCAATGATCCCGAAGGTAGAAGCACAAACTCACAAACTACCATGTTCCTCTACCAGCCTACTTACAGTGTAAGAAATCAAAAAAACTTATAAGTATCCAGGTCCTGTAAGCCCATCACAAACTGCCATGTTCCCACATGTTAGGAATAAAAGATCTGCCTTCATCATATCTGCTACTTTATCAGGAGATCGAAATGGAGAGCCATGAACCAAATCACATCTTTCTTTCCATATAAACACAACCAGAACACACCATACAAGTGCATGCCATTTCCCTACCTGAGTGTTTATGCAGACTGTAGTGCTCACAGCATCATCGCATCCCAATCGTTGTGCCTCAGCAGCTGGCAGTTCATTTGATTAGCAAGCTAGCGAGAGAAAGAACAATAGAGAAAGAGATGGTCTCTAGTCTCGATATCCTTCCCACAAAGAGGGCAAGAGGCATCTATGATTTTGCCCCATTTCAGTAGCTTGTCTCTTTTTACAATAGCCTTTTTATGACAATCCAGGCTATTAAGCTGTATCTAGGAGGACATACACTTCTCCACACAAGTTTATGCCAAGGGACCTTAGGAGCTTTGCTTCTCAACGTCTCCCAAACTCTTCGAACAGAATAAACTTGCGTCTCTTGCGAATTCCAGAAAATAGTATCATTCTATTTGTATATCCATGCCAGTATAACAACCCTCAGTCAGCAGCCTCCGCTGTGCCTAGGAACTACTATGTTTTGGTAATTTAGAAGTGTAAAAGTGTAAGTCTTTCATACTTTAAGCATATATTTTGACTACACTTGTAAGCGAAAATCGTGATTCTACATAGAAGCGTATTGATGGCCTAAAAATTAATGTAAAGCGTAAACTTTCAACCTTAAAAGCGTTTGACTTCATTGCAAGAGATTAGTCTTGTGATCATTCCACCATTAATCCTTAACTTAAAGGTTCCAAAATTAGGGGTGGGCAACGGGACGGGATACCCGTCCCGTTTTAAACGGGTACCCAGTCCCGTTTGGAGACCAAAGTCCATCCCATATCCCAAACCCATATGGGAAACGGGTACCCATTTCCCGTACGGGACGGATAACGGGTACCCATAAATACCCAAAGTTTAAACCACTAAAATTTTAACAAAAGTTTAAACTTGTATTTGCTTAACAATCGCAAGACACAAAATACATCCCAATCACAAATACTCGGTTTGCAAATAACACATTCATGAACAATCACAACACATAGAAATAAATCATTCCAAGCACCAAATTATCAAATAAGAAGTTTCATTCAACACAACAAAATGGGAGGCATGCTGCTACTTTTCTTTTGTTGTTGAATGCAGAAAGTGTCCAAATTTTTAGGTTCATGGGAAGCTAAAATCTATAGCAGAGAAGCTGAGTCTCACTGAAAGGGTAAGGGCCCCTGGGCCCAAATGGCAAATGGAATTGAAATTGCAAGGGTGAGGGCCGAAATGGCCAGGGTTCTGAATGGGGCTGGACTGCCTTTGTATTAAATGGGTATAACGGGTACCCATATTACCCAAACGGGTATTCGCGGGTAACCCGCGGGTACCCATATACAACCCCAAGTCCCATCCGTTTATAATATTACGGGTAATATGGGTACCCGTAACCCTTAAAAAACGGGACGGGTACGGGTATACCCAAATACCCATTTCCCGTTGCCCACCCCTATCCAAAATCAAATATTTTGAGTAGCACCTAACACTAAAATTGAACTTATATCACTTCATTAAAACAAATTTCTAATTCAATAATCACTCACCAGTCACCAACCTCCCTCATTCCAAAATGTCAAACGTAATCTCGCTCTCATGATGAAATCTAAACAAGTGAACGAAACCGTTTTGACGGTTGCTAAATAAATAACCAACAGAAAATAATATCTTCTTCTAGGTACCGACTTTCTTCATAAGTCGGCTCTGCCAGCCAAAGAAAAAAACGTCCAACCAAAAAACCCCTTTCGTGGCGCCTTCCATTCATTAATAATGACAAAAAAAAAACAATTATTAATCCTCTCATTAATGACTCTCTTCTGGAAACAGAAAAAAAAAAAACTCTCGCTGGTTAATTAATTAATAATGAATCAATTAATCCTTCCCACCTATATCCACTAATCACCCCCGCGCTTTCTTTTCTCAAACCCACCACAATCCGGTCAACTCACGCCACGCGTCACCGCCGCGTTTGGTTGGTATAAATTTCCCCCAAACGAACCCAACCCTTTCACCAGAACTTCCAAACGCAAATTCCAACTCCCGAGAGAGAACTTATTTCCACACATTTCGCAAGCGGATCGGATACCTCACTTCAGGAAATGGTGGCGGCAGGGAATGCAATTGACAAGCACGAGCAGTACAAGCGGGTGTTCGCCCACTTCGACGAGGACGGCGACGGGAAGATATCTGGCTCGGAGCTGCGGCGGTGCGTGGCGGCGATCGGCAGCAGCGGCGGAGGAGGAGGGAGAGTAGGGGAGCTGACGGAGGAGGAGGCGGAGGCCGCTGTGGGGTTTTCGGACTCGGACGGCGACGGGATGCTGGATTTAGAGGATTTCGTGAGGCTGGTGGAGGCAGGGGAGGAGGAGGAGCGGGTCAAGGATTTGAAGGAGGCCTTCAAGATGTATGCGGCGGGAGCCGCCGCCGGGGCAGGGGACGGCGGAATGATAACGCCGAGGAGCTTGAAGAGGATGTTGAGCCGGCTGGGAATGCGGCGCAGCGCAACGGAGTGTGGGGTTATGATCGCCGAGTTCGATCTCGACGGCGACGGGGCGTTGGATTTCGACGAGTTTAAGGTCATGATGTCGTGACTTCGTTCCGTGTAAATATTGGATTTTTTTGGGGGCATTGTGAGTGGAAATAATTATTCTTTGTTCATCTTCTTTTTGATTGGGAAGAGACAGATAGATGTATCTAGTGGTTTATATGATTCTTTTTTAGTGTTATTTCTTTCTGTCTCATTTTAATCATTGAAATATAGATTATATGAGTATCTATAATCTTATATTGCTGAATAAACTTTGATTTATTGACAATATTAAGTGACATGAACTATCAAATACAAGACGAGATCTATCATATTTGAGGAAGCCAATTCATCCAACTATATCTATCATATGTATTGACCATTACATACGTATCTACAACCAAAATCTTCACCTCATAATTAAGGATTGCCACAAACTAAAGAAAACACATGATCACTCTCAACTTTCTCCCATCAAATAATCGTATCACTAATCACACAAACTCCACACTCCCATTCATGGCCACTATACTTTATGTTGCTGCAGCTTTCACTAGAGGCTTACTAGAGCTCTCACTAAACAACACATTGCTGCTCTCCCCTCCTTCTCCCATGCTTGATTCCTCGACCAATGCAGAGAGCTTCTCGACTATATCTCCAGCACTTGGTCGCAAACTCGGGTCTTCGTCGACACATGTTCGCGCCAGATTGGCCAATGTCAGAGCCTCATCGAGCGAATAGCCATCACCCAACACGCCATCGATCCATTCCTTCAGATCCACGTCATTCTCCGAATCTAATACTCTCTTTACGCTCTCGCAAAGCTTCACACTCCCTTTTCCCTTTTCATCCCCTCTTGCCATCGCCGTTTTGCCGGATAAAACCTCGAGCAAAACGACACCGTATGCAAAAATATCAATGCTCGGGGCGATTACCTCTTGGTTTACGTACTCAGGAGCTAGATAATCAATGTCAATTTGATCATCTTCTTCCACGAGTTTCGCCATAGCAAAGTTTCCTATCTTAGCGGTGAACTCCTCATCGAGGAAAATGTTCCTGCTCCTTAGCTTCATGTGGACATAACTAGGGCTCATGATGTGATGCATGTATTGCAACCCAACAGCCACATCTAGACATATCTTGAGCCTTTGATCCCACGTCAAAAAACAGTAACACGACGCAATGAACTGATTTTTCATGGCCAACCCTCCATGGAGCCAATCTTTCAAGGACCCATTTTTGGCATACTCGAACACTAGGTACGAACAATTCGACCCTTCTTCACTCAAACAAGTCCCCAAGACCTTGAGGATCTTAGGATGATGGTGAGTTGGATTGCTCAAGATCCCGAACTCGATCTTCGACACGTGTTCCGATTTCAACCGTTTGATCGCCATGTTCTTGCCGTTGAGCCGGCCGTGGTAGACGCTCCCTTGGATGTGATTCCCCGAATCGAAATCCTCTGTAGCCCTCTGTATTTCCTCCACCGTGTAGCTCTCCAAAATCGTCCTCTTTTGCCGCGGCGTAGTGGCCTCAACGATCTGGCTATGGGGATGATTGAGATCCACGTTTTCGTGCTGCGAGCTCTCGAACGATACTTTCTTGTCGCTCGTCGTCCTGACGCTCAAACTCAGCTGCTGGAGCTCCACGTCAGCATCTTTCGATCTCTGTTTTTTTCCTAGTTGATTCCCCTGTTTCTGGGCTTCCCTCTTCTTGAGCTGCATCAACGCCACGAAGACTCCCGCTGCAATTGCGATGCACCCGAGAATCACACCGCATATCACAGCCACGTACATTCCCACCTTCCGCCGCATTTTCTTTCGACGGAGCCGGAAATTGGGGAAGAGAATGTGAGGTTTCTCGGTGACCGGGATCAGAACGGAGGTGAACGGCTGGAGTTTCGCCTGCAACTGGGGATTCGCAGAGACTATAGATTCAGGGGAAGCGTTGAATTTGATGGAAAGGGTGGAGATGGAATCACCTGGAAGAACAGGGTAAGTGAGAAAGATTCGAGCTTTATCCAATGGCGCTTCAGGGCAACCGCATCTCAACGGGATCAAGATCCGAGCTTTCTCGCCGAGATTCCATGGCCCCACATTTGGGTTCCTCGTCCTGATTCCATCAATGTTCGTCAGTCCTTCAAGAGAACCAGCAATGGAGGAAAAGCTGTCGCCTTTGACCGTCGTTTTCACGAGTTCAGCTTCGAAACCGCCTTTAGAGCACTTGCAGGTCAATGGGATGAGCAAAGACTGGTCCTTTTTGAAATACTCTGTTTTGGGAGGGAGCTCATTCGCTTCGGCAATGGCGACACGGTTGAGATTGAGGAAGAGGGTTAAGTTCGAGAGAGAAGAGAAGAATGGATTTGTGTGAAGAATAGCAAATGTCTCACATGAGGAAGAAGAATTGCAGGTCTTGAGATTGGGAGATGTTTGAGGAAGGATTGCTATTACAAGGGAAGAGAAGAGGAAGGGGAAACAGGACAAAAGAAGGGCTGCAGTTACCATAACTAGAATTTTTTATAAATGGGTCTCAAACTTCTTTTGATATTATGGTGGAAAAGAGGCTACTGCTGGCTGGCTAGTGCTTAGTGGTAACCCTAATTTGCTTTCTTTAAGTCTACTTTGGAATTTGGATTGGTTTTTGGGTGAGAGGGGGTTTTGGATCTGTAGTTCTGTACAAACTAACAAAAGATGGTGGTGTGGAGGTGGAAGTGGAATGCAAAAGCTTTTGTTTATAGAACAGATGTATTGGGGATGGGAAAGGGGAGGTTTTGGAATGGGGGATTTTATGGGAGTGTGTTGGATTTTATATATAGGTGTTTGATGGGAAGGACAAGGGAGGCAAGTTACAGAAAAGGTACAACATTGGAAGTTATGATTTTGAATGGTGTGTTATTGACTATTGAGAAGAGTACACAAATATGTTGTAAATGGTGTGAAATTTTGTTGTGGGGAAGATTATTTAGTTGAATAATGAGTCCCGTAGTTAGAGAGGTGTACTTTAACGATAGTTAGAAAATAGATGTATTGAACAAGGAGTTACACGAGTTTATAAAAAGGGGACTACGATTTTTATGTGTGGATGGGTGTGCAGATCACAGTGAACATCCGAATGCATAGCGTCTGATGGGTTAGTTTTGTTATTTAATTGGTTCATTATTTTAGGTGCATGTGCAAATGATGTATTTGAAATACAATAAGTTAATGCAAGATTACGAATTGATGTTGATTTTTTGCTTCTATTTGAATAACTCGTATCAATTGATTGTTCATTTTATTTGTGATGGCTCTTCAATCTCTCGTGACTTGTTCGATAAGAGTAAAGTTATGTGAATCATTTATGAGAGCATGCCTCACTCAATAGATTGTTGATATCAATTGCAAACTTTTACTAAGTGGTCATTGTACCTCAAAGTGTGCTTATCCATCTAAGTTGGTATCGATTACAAATCTAATACAAGTCCATCACCATCATGTGTATGTGTAAGAGTGAAATGATAAAGTTGAGGTTAGCTAATAAAAAAGCCGCTACCTTTGCCTCCATAGTTAATCACTTATTACTTATTAGCAATAATGTACGTGGTACATGGAGACAACCTTTTTGTCAGTGTTTCCTCCTCTCTTTTTTACAATTTACAGTAGAGAGGACTGAGGAGAGGACAGAAAAGGGGTCAGGGATGTCAAATAGTTTAGTACATTTTTTAACATGTAAAGTTCCCTTGGCCCTAAAGCAAACATCATGGTCATGTGGCCTAGTAAACTCGTAATTATCCCAAGCAATAAACAAAACAGAACTTGGTACAGGGTCCTTTGGATGATCGATTATAATGAATGAATATGTAATTAAATTTCATGCAATAGCAGGAAAATTTTATCGTTTGATTACTCGTTATAACTGGAAAGAAAATAGATAACTAGTACAATTAAAATCTATATTTCTTATAAATCGATACATGGATGAATCCACTTTCATCAAAATGGAATAGAATTATGGTAATTCATAATTAGGTTTTCCAAAAAAAAAAACTATTAAAAAGACTAAGTAATATAATGGCATCTACAAACTCCTTAATCCGTAATAAAATAATAATTAGGTTTTCCAACAAAAAATAAAAACTATTATAAAGACTAAGCAATATAATGGCATCTACAAACTCCTTAATCCATTATTATAACATAGCATCATAGTAACAATTTTTTGTAATGTTTGCTTAGCTTAACCGACCAGAACAACTAATCCCTCTGAAATTCAATTAGCTACCTTGTCCTTTCATGCTTATAAAATTTCATAAGCAAGAATAACTACTAGAGCAACTCGAGGAGCTACCCTAGCTTCCTTCATTTCCTTGTTCATGAACCTCGAACCTAGCTATAAGCTATACCTCTTTGTTTATTCTCTTTTTTTGGGATTTACCTTCTTGATGTGCTGGATTGACAAGAGGGAAATCATCAACTTCATAGATTATTCGAGATGAAGTTGATATTGGCAACCTTGCATGGTGAAAGCTGAGGCCAGGAAGCGATTGATTAATCAGCCTAGCCTAGGGCCATGATTTCTCTATGAAAGAAAAGAGTCAATTAGGTAAACGGTCATCAACCTTCGAACATTAACAAACCAGACACTTAACTATACATTTCTATATATTTTTTCTTTGTCGAAGTTTGGAATTTCATAGATAACGCTAATTCCTCACATATTATGTGCCCAATTCGTCAATACCTTTGTGTTAGACCACTCAAATTAATCCTATAAAAGGTCTTTGCTTACCATGTAGTAAGTAATCGATCAAGAAAGGGGAGAGGATTAGAGTAGTTTGCGATAATATCAAGAAAGATTGGATAAAAATCTAGAGCCAATACGACTTAAATTTGATCGTCCATGCCAAATAATCAGGGTTTGTATTCATTCATTTCTATAAGTAATTTGGTTAAGTTAGCTTGCTAGCCTAGATGATTACAGAAGAAAATTAAATGAGAAAGACAAAAGTAATTGTTACATGGGTATTTCGAATTTTAGGGACAACTTTGTTAAGAGTTAAAGTTGAACGACCTACTTATTAATGAATCCAAAGTTAAATGGTCGTTTGTGTAATTGACCCCATAAAGTAATTTTAGAAGCTAGACAAAGCATTGCCATGATAAATCCGAATCATCCTCGCATTTACGTTGTTTCTTGTCCCCAACAAGAGTCTAGCCTTCCAATGATGGTTCCTATAAGAAATTCTTGACCAACGTAATTATTATTTATTTGCCATTGAGATGTGTTGTAATTGGTAAAAAATGATCAAGTTTCGACTTAGATACTAAGATCGTGGTTAAAATTTTGTTGGAAAATGTTGTGTTGGTTAATTAAGACTTAAGAAACAATAAGACCTTGTTTGGGTTTACTTAAAAGCGTACATCTCAATAAGTGGCAGACCAGGAATTTTATCTAGAGATGTTCTCTTTCAAAAATTTAATTTAAATAAGAATAAAAATTTATAAATATAATTTCTTGGAATAGAAAACATCTAAACAGTACAAGTTACAACAAAATATCACAATGTGTTTTCATATTTTGGAAGGCGAAGACACAACAGTCGGTGGAGTCGAGTTTCCCCATAAAGACTGAGTCAATCGGAGTCCACAGAAGAGGAAGGTAGTGGCACTAAAGAGTTGGAGCATAAAAGACATGAGAAGTAGAAGTCGGCGAACAGAGGTTGACCGCTGATGGTTGGACTAGAGGTGGTATCACGAACGACTGAAAAAGAATGTGAGAAGGGGAATAGACACTCGAAATGTTTTGTTGCATCTCTTACTTCGCTTCGTCAATATCAAAATAGTGGATAATTTGGAATTTAGTTTTAGGGTCTGGTGAAATTTTGAAGAAATTTAAATTTGATTGGACTTTGTTTTAGCTTATAGTTACATTTATGATGCAACATACAACAAATAATTTATGGTGTAATGGCTAATATGTTTTCTGACAATGGTAGTGTCACAATTTTAAATCATAGAAACTACCAACCATTTTTTCTTTTCACCTAACCAAAACTATTACTGCGGTCGATAATTCCCCTCGCCCCAATTTTAGAGGTGTATGCTTTGGGTACACCCTTGATCCCAATACAATTTTATGGTTTTGATGAAAAAATCACTATAAAATGTAAAGTCTACAATGGGGTTTGCATATGTAAAATATACCTACTTTGTCTTTGAAGATGATTATACCAACGATGTTAATCATATTTCTTACAGTGCAGACCTCTGAACTAAATAAATAAGAATAAAAAATAATCAAATTCAATTGATTCAACGAAAAATAATCTAATCAAATCAAATGCATTTTATGATAATTTTGGTTCTTATCTTCCTTTCATGTTTCATCTAACTCTATACCGATTCACCCCATTCTAGATCAAATTGGCACCTCCAGGCATCAATCACTCCAACCATTTTCCATATGAACATTCCTTCGAGTTCCAAAGGTTCACAGAAAACAAAACTATGCAAAAAGGCCTTTTTGAGCATTGGCACGTGACCACTCGTGATGGGCATTGGACTCTGCATTTTTTGCTATCACCACAAAAGATCTATTTTTCTCAATTTGATTCCATCTCGAGATCAATGCCCGCTGTTGCTTTGATATGGCCAAGAGAATGAGTCACAGGCACGAGTGCCCCTCACGTGCACTTCACAGATGTTATAAACAAATACATCCATACCAATATTGCATGATCATATTCATATACTCGATGAGAAAAACAAAAACTTTATTCGATCATCAACTTAGATAGGCATGATTCAATCGGGTGAAGAATAAATCGCGATCGAAAATATCGGAACGAAAATGGATATCAGATCAAAAGCACATCTAATCTTGAGTTTTTTTGTTTGCTTTATGAAGACACTCGAGATCGAAACAAAAAACTAGAGAATGAACGATCGAATTATATATGATCCGCTTTAATTCAATCTGATATGGGTCGAACATCGCTCACCCTTAACTATCATGTCCCGAGATGTTTATTTCTATAGATCATGAACATGGAGGCATGGAATGGAAGAGACAGACAGACAACAACAACAACAACAATGGCGTGATAGGCCAAACCCCCAAAATGGGACACAACAGTCAGGTAGTAATGTACATTACTCATGAATGTGCTCTGGTTAATCTCCAGTTACCAGGCAGCTTTAACTCCCTCCACTCGATTTCTCATGAGGGATATTACTTGCGCTGGCTCAGGAGCGCCAAACACCGAGCTCCCTGCCACAATGCAGTTTGCTCCGGCTGATGCTGCTGCATCAATCGTTGATGGACCTAACCCGCCATCCACCTGCAAGGACAAAGTTGATTACATTTGAGACTGAGTTAGGATCATATGGCAACAGGAAGCAGAGGAATGATGCAATCGGGCCAAGAAAGAGAGAGTGACTGGCCTCTATATCAAGGGATGGATACTTCTGTCTCAGCTTCCGTACCTAAAACCACAGTGCAAAAAATATTGTCTCCACATCAAGGGAGGAGATAAGAGATAAGATGTTACAGTGAGGATTTATGGACTTAAGGTCACCTTGTCCATCATTTCAGGCATGAATTTCTGTCCTCCAAAACCAGGTTCCACAGTCATCACAAGGACTAAATCAACGTGATTTTCACCTTCAACCTGCAGGTTTAAATAGGAAAGAATCATAATGCATTTGTAACTCGTTTTGGTTTCTTGGAAATACATCCTAGTAAAGAAGAAATGCTTACCAGAGGATAAACCTCTTCGATGGGAGTTCCAGGTTTAAGCGACACACCAGGCTTCATGCCCTTAGCTTTTATTTTCTGAATCAGTTCATTCCAATTTTCTGCAAGAAGAAGTTATATTACTGACTACCATACAATTGAGACGGCGAAAGATAGAAGAGGGAAAGAATCGTACGATGGAGAACAATCACCAACCTCTGGCAGCTTCAATGTGAAATGTAAATCCTGAAGCACCTGCTTTACCGAAAGACTCAACATAATCAAGAGGGTTTGTGACCATCAGGTGGCAGTCTAGGTATGCCCTGAAAGAGAACAAAAATGTAGAAGAGGATTAAGATTGTTAGCTGTTATGCGTTGTTAAGAGATTGGGAAAGCCAGCATAAGGGGATAAAAGATGTTACTTGGTGTGCTTCCTCAAGCTCTCAATCACCGGAGCACCAATGGTTAGATTTGGAACGAAGTGGCTACAAGAAGATGAAAAATTTAGCACCTAGCCACTCGAAATTAGCATCAACTACCAAGAGACAGGATTTATCAGAAATTCAAATGTTTACTCAGCATAGAGAAGTAACATGAATGAGACGTAAAGGCCACTGCAGAGATTCTAAATCAAGCAAGTTCGTTACTTCCATCCCTAATACAAGCTTATGGTATGAACTGTCTAGATGAGTTAAAATTCGGCCCTTCCTCCTTACCTCATCCCTTGTCTATGCAAGTAATTATATAGGGAACAACAGGCACTAGCTAGGATAAGACTCATAATACGATCTCAACTACTCGAGTTATCAGGACGATTCATAACCAAGAATAGACCAAGTTTGATTGGAATGCAGACAATCATAAATCCCAATTTCGTGGCACAACACTGTTTCATCCGCTTGAACCCTAGCACGGACAGTCAAAGCAAAACATCGAATAACTGAACGAATTCTCCATTTCCATTCCAAGCAAGGATCTTTTTATCTTAAGGAGCAGCTCCAAGTAGAACAAAAACAAACCCAGATAAATGGACAGACAGATTGATACGGGGTGATCAACAAATTCGACATAAGAGCTTGGATGAACAGCATGGGGTAAAAAGTAGGTGAAAAGAAATTGAACCAGAAAAATGGTCATTTCCCAGACCAAGTAACTTTCCAACGTACCCATCCTGCAGAAGAGACGATGGAAACTCAATTATTTCGCGATACATACACGATCGTAATAGGAGAAGACGGAGACATTGAAGGAAGGAAGTAAGAAGAAGGAAGGATGTACCATGATGTCCATGTGAAGCCAATCGGCGCCGCAATCGAGCATCCGCTGAGCCTCTGTCGCCAGATTTGAGAAGTCCGAGGACAGCATCGACGGAGCAATCTTCGCCGCCGCCGCCATCTAAAAATGGTTTCTCCTTCTTCTTTCTTTCCCGCCGGCGCCCGTTGAAAATGCCGCTGAGTGCGAAAGTGAAGGGAAAGCGGAGACGGCAAGCGGAAGAAAGGCGAAAAAGTTAGTGCTTGTTTGGAAGTTGTGATTCTTCAAATTGATGTATTGTGATAATTAGTGTATTATCATTTGATGTATTGAATCAATTGATGTATTAGGCAAATATCTTATTTGGAGGTTTAGATTGTGGTTTTGTTCTAAAGGTAAAAAGTTAGTTTTGAGTGATTGTGAAGAATCTCAACAAAAAGTAGAGATTGTAAATCCCTCAATATTGAGTGATTGTGGTGGGGCCTCCAAAAAGTAAATGCATGTATTCTAGTTCTATATAAGTAAAAAAAACGACTTAATCTCACAAATACATGAATTAGGTCAATACACCATTGGAAATCACAACTTCCAAACGACCCCTTAGTCTCCTAACAGGGCATTTTGTTAGGAGATACTGATAGGGTCAGATTTTGGGCCATGTGTGCTTGGGCTTCATCCAACGGAGGAGAGTGGTGGCTCACTTAAATGAGCTGGAGATGGGCTTCCGTGTAGAAGCCGGCCCAGCGTGCGGCGCAGAAGGCGAGCCGAGTTCGTGGCGTGGTGGGCCCGGCCTCAGTTTGGGCGGGATTTTGGGTTGGAGTGGAAAGCGTGGTGGGCCCGGCTTCAGTTTGGGCGGGATTTTGGGTTGGAGTGGAAAGAGAATGAAATTTTTGGGCCCCATGTGATATATATGTTTGTTTGTTTGGATATTTATTTGTTTTCAGTGGATGTTATTATGTGTTGTGTTGATATTACTTTGAATCATTGTGTTGGATATTTATTTGTTTTCAGTAGCCATCATTAAATTAATATTTACCAAACCCCAAAATAACCCAACCACCCGAAACTGATTACACCAATTTAGAGTTTAAGTTTTAGGGTTTATGGTTTGGTTTTCAATTTGTGAAGGATTGGAATATTGTTTCTTACATCAAATTAAACACACTAGGAAGTCCTAACACGTAAGGCTTGCAACCTTAGGAAGGCCGTAAACACGGGCAACATCCTCAGCTTCGATTGTAAGCACCTTCTTGTTCTCCCCTTCACCGAAAATGAATGAACTGGTGACCAAGTCGTACTGTGCCATCAAGTTATCGAACAACTTCTTAGGAAAATTTGCCAATCGAAGCTCCAATAACCCTCCAAATCCAGCCTTCTCCAACTCTTTCTTGCATGCTTCATAGTACCTTGGCTCTTCCTTCCAGTAATTAATAACATCTAGGAGAGATTTTGGTATGGCACCGAAATCTGTACCACGGCTTGCCTTGTCCTAGAATATTATTTCTTTGTGCAGCTCCTTGTGCAGCAACTTCAGCATCTTCTTCCTCGTCCTCCTCTCGCAAGGGCGGTTGATTCCTTTGCGCTCTCTTCGCGTTCCTTTTATTTCTTGCCATTGATAAATCCATGCACAAACAAATATACAGATATATCAAACAAATATCTAGATTGGTCAAACAAATATCCAGATAAATCAAACAAATATACAGATATGTCAAACAAATATTCAGATAAATCAAACAAACATCCCGAAATGTCAAACAAATATCCACATATATCAAACAACTATCCATGCAAGTTACAACTGATATCATGCTTGCCAAAACCAATATCCAGATATATCAAAGAAACAATACAAGCAAAATAAATAATATAATGTCTGTAATCTGTACCTCAGATTTTGCCGACCTCGAGCTGCTCCTTGTGCAGTTGTTTCTGCTTCGACTTCAGATGCTCCTTGTGCAGTTGTTTCTGCTTCGACTTCAGTATCTTCTTGTGCAGTTGTTTCTGCTTCGACTTCAGCATCATCTTTTTCCTCATCTTCCTCTCGCTGTCGCGGTGGTGGTGGTGGATGGGGTGAAGTCAGTGGAGCTCTCTTCCCGCTCGTTTTAGTCTTTGCCATGGATAAATCACCTGCAAAGACAAATACCCAGATCCTATAAAACAACTATCCAGGAAAGTAACAACTCATATCATGCTCGAACAGAACTAACATCGACACAAACATGACTAATATCGACACAAACAGATCTAATATCGACACAAACTGAACTAATATCGACACAAACAGAAAGCCATTCCACAAAACCCAGAAATAAAATAAACAAAAGAACGAATCATGCAACCCTAACTCAAATCTGTCCAAACGAAACCTAATATCCACGAAACATTCCACAAAACCCGAGTCACCTGCAAACCGTCGCCGCCGAGATCGCTGCTTCGTCGCCGCCGACAAGATCGATGCCGCCGAGATTGCCGCCGCCGAGTCTGCTGCAGAGTCGTCGCCGCCGAGATCTCCGAGTTCGTGCAAGGTCGCCGCCGTCGAGATCTCCGACTTCGCTGCTTCGCCGCCGCCGCCGAGATTTCCGCCTTCGCTGCAAGACGTCGCCGTCGATATCTCCGATTCGCAGCAAGGTCGCGCCGCCGAGATCTCCTCCTTCGCTGCAAGGTCGCCGCCGCCGCCTAGATCGTCGCCGCCGCCAGACTTTGCTGCCGCCGAATTCGACGCCGCCGATATCTCCGATTCACCGCGCGTCGCGACGTCTGCGTTCGGGAGAGGAAGAAAGGCAGAGGAAAGGGAGAGAGAAAGGGGGGGAGAGAGAGGGGGGAAAGTGATTTGGGTTAGGGTTTAGGATATTTTTTTTTTGAGTTTTTGAATTAGTGGGCCCGGCGGGCCCCGCCAGCCGGAGTGGGCTTGGCCCAGCCGATGGAATCGGCTCTCATCCATCACACGGGCCAGCGCGTTTTCTCCTCCACCGATGGATGGCGGCTTGGCGACGTGGAGGCCCATCCAGCCATGTCAGTATCTCCTAACAAAATACCCTGTTAGGAGCATAACTAGATTGGAAGAAAGGGCAGTAGGACTTAGGACTAGTCCGTTGACTTATAAGAGAAAGACTTTGTGGAAGGACCAAAACGGCTTCATGTTTATTCTTCTTTCTTTTCCCTCTCTCTTAGTCTTAAGGTGAGGGATGGAAATCTGTGTGAAACTATCCCCTGTTTACTTTCATTTCTGTTTCCTGTTTTTTAGAAAATAGACGTTGAAAACATGTGAAAACAACATTTAGTCGTTTCCGAAAACAGTAGGAAGTTGCCACTTTATGTTTTCATAGTTGGAAACGAATAGAAAACAGAATGAAAAGTAAACAAGTTTTCTCATTTCGGTTGCCAAATTTATCACATGAAAACAGGAAACAGGAAACGAAAATGGAAGTGAACAGAGTGAAGGCATGATTTGCGTGATAAATTTGACTGTTAATTATTTTTATTGATAGAATGATAAATTTTCAGTTTGTTTCATCCGTTTGAATTGGATAATTCTTTTTGTAGGAGTATTGTAATTCCTTCGAACTGAAATAACCAAAGTTTTAATTGGGCGACTCTCAATTATTTGATAATGTTCAGTTACGGTGACAAAACAAATCAAAGTAACAAGTGTCGTATGTTACAAGAATCGTCTAGTCGTGAGCAACATCAAGAAACACACTCTTGAGTCTGGATTGGTTCTGACTTCCTCCAATCGAGTATGCAACCTATTGGCTGGGGCACTGGGCCTTTACTTTACAGGAAACAAGTCATGGACCGAACAAACAAGATGCAAGTTGAGTTAAAAGTCTAGCCATCATAATCCACCACCTTAAACTTAATTAGCTCGTGAAGATCTTCACTCGATGTTGCTTAATTAACGACAAAAAGTATTTTCCTTACTTGCGATTTATATACATCTTCTACTTAGCGTCTATTTTAGGTTACTGATTCGTCAAGAGAAAATGAAAAAAAAAATATTTCACACCGTTGAAATATAATTTATTTTTTTAGTAATTTTTTAAATATCATATTATTTCAATTAAAATATTGTTTATTATATACTGAATTTTTCACTATATACTATCATACCTCATAGAAATAGTTATTGGACCTCAATAAAAAAAAGAAGCTATTAGACCTAAACTACTGGGCCGCTGAAGCCCTGAATGTTCGAGTTATTGCAATTTGCAACTCAAAACTCAAAACCTAGACGACGAAGTCCCCTGCGTCCTTCAGCAAAACTGCAAAAGCTTCCCTTCTCAATCCCGTCTTCAAGCCTATCTACTCTTATCCAAAGGGCCAAAACTCCCACGCCACGCCGAGCTCCATCGATTCTCAGGCAAGTGGCAACACAGCTCGTGTTTAGCCCTCCGACCTTGTTCCAGCTTCCTCCACCAATCTCAGAAACTCTGACCTTGTTCCAGCTTCCTTCATCAATCCCACCAACTATTTCATCTCTTTCACCAATCAACAGTCACCTTCGCCGACACATCCTCTTCGTTCTGTATCCGTGAAACAGATTCGCCAATCTCTACAAAATCCGCGCCCCAACAAGTAATAATTCACGAATTTTATACGAAATCCTTCAGATTCGCGTTTTCGCGCTCTAAAGCGGGAGCGCCGAGCTCTGCCCCACGAATTGTGTGCATCATTTCTTTTCTCCTATCCTGCCTTCCTTTGCAAAGATGGTGAGTTCTTATCTCGGACGTGGTCATTCGTTTCTTATTTTCATGGGTTATTTCTCTGCATTCTTTACATAGTGCTGGTTTTGCGTCCCAATCGTTCTTTGCCTTCTTTGGTTTAATTCGTTTGGTTTGCATGCTCTTTGATGCGATTTGTCACTCTTTACCTGTGGCTCCGCACGAGTCCTTGAATAGTTTGTGTTCTCTCCCTTTCCGTTCGAATTAGCTATTTAGACTCGATTAGTTGCGAAGTCCTCTTATCTTATGGCGAATTTGTGTGAAGGAAGAGTGTTGGAGGGAGAGTGGAGAAGACAGGTTCAGCTTTGTTGCCATGGAAGTAGCAGATATCTACTGCTGCTGCTGCTGCCGGCTTCGCCATTGCCCTTTCCATTTCCAGTTTCGATTGATGGCTTCGGATTGGATTTTTTTATCAAGTTGGCCTCCAATGTAGTTAGTTACAATTAGATCATGGAACCTTATTAAAACTTGAAACATGGTCCTTCTGGCCTTGTTATCTTCTTTCTTTTAATGTAGGCCAGGTAAATGATGAGCTTGTAATTTTTTGTTTATAGTAAGGTGGTGAATTCTCCACTAACTCCCTATGAGCACATCATGGTTTAGAGGTAGGAAGCTGATAAATTTATGAGAGTAAACAGTACTCTTCTTGCAATTGTAAACGAGGGTCTAGTTTGCAGATCGTAGTTTCAAAATTTATGCTGAACTTTCTCTTCTTTCGTAGATCCCCCATATAAGGACATAAAGATAAACTTGCAAAG